CTCTCTCTCTTTCCCGGTGGTAGAGTGTATGTACTTAATGTATCCAACATGGGAATATCACTGCTACGTTGCATCTACATTTACACCGTTCGTTCGTTCGTTCGTTCATTCGTTCGTTCGCTAACGTGGCAAGTTGAAATGGGGGACAAAAATGGACAAAAATGGACAAAAATGGACACCAACCTGCCACCAACTGAGAACTTAATCGATAAATTGTCTTTCGTTACGTCGACATGTCGAAAGTTGAAACACGCCAAAGCTTGTATCTCGCATATAACCTCTCGAAGTACTTTTACATATTCCATCGAAACGGATGCTCGTCAGGAACATTCTCCTCCATTAGGAAATCGCTAACCCAATTGGCTTTATCGGTGCGCAGCCAATCAGGTTCCGGTTGAACGTGCAAAATGATGTCAAACCAGCGACTTCTCCTCGTGGTTGGTCGGTCATTCGGCCGATTTCCGAGGTTAAAAAAAAAAAGTTGAAGCCCATTTGAAGGCGGGGCAACAGCAAAATCCGGGGAGCAAGCTCGATCGTACGATTAATGCAGAAGTTGTACGCAGTAAGCACTTACTTTGGTCGGAGTACCCTTTCGAGACCAATCCTCAAGTAGGTACTGTACTTACTTTGAGTACGGTTGATGCGGATGAGGTTTCTCGGAGAACAGAGACAGAAAAGCTTTTGCCGCGGCGTTGCCGTAATTATAAGTCAAGCTAAGTTTGAGTAGAAGAGCATTTCTCGGATCCCCTCGTGATGTGATTTTCTCAATTTTCTTTCTTAATTTTCTTTTCTAAATTCTTTCTTCTTTTTCTTCTTCTTCTTCTTCTTCTTTTTCTTCTTCTTCTTCTTCTCCTCCTCCTCCTCCTCTTCTTCTTCCTTATTATTCTTCACCATCGACTTGACTTCATTCTCGGTCTCTAATTTTCGCTCTTCCATCCATGTATGCACCACACAAAAGCCAAATTTGAATAAATACATACTACTTCTTAAGTACCTATCTACATATCCAAAAAATTAAAATATATAAAATATATAAAAAAAGAATAGACCAAAATGGAGCCTATGGTCATCAGAATATCTACATCAACCTCGACTCTCCAGCTACAGAGAGCACTGCTCGCCACACACGGTGCGAGCACTGGGACCCGAAGACTGCGATCTGTATGTGCCCGATGCCGCCGTCCAGTCGTCGCCAGAAGTCCAAATGCAACACATCCCTCACCACGGTCGTTCTCGACGGCACCGGTATCATGCCAGGCAAGGAAACCGCGACTACTCAACATGACCTCTCCAGCAGTGTCTATCCAGAAGAGGGGAGCTATGGCACAGGCCGTCTCACAGGAGATTGAAGAGGGTAGGTAAACTTCCCTTCCAAGGAAGCAAGGAAGGAAGGAAGGAAGGAAGGAAGTAACAAAAGTAACAAACTAACCATGATTCTATCGATATATCGCAAACAGATTACTATCCTGAACAACCTGAACCTTCCCAGAACCCAGGTCCTATTGATAAGTACAAAGAACTTGTTAGTGAAGGGAAGCTTCGTGATGATGACCATCAAAGAAGTATGAGATTCCCAAACAACAGCCGAAATAAGCCAACGATCGATAAACTAACAGGATTTTTTTTAATTTTTTTTTTTACCTTTGTAACCAGAGATTGTGGTCAAGCTCCAAGACTTGCATGACCAACTCGTCAACTATGACCCCCCTGTCGTGGTCCATCCGCACATCGAGCCACCGAATCAGAAGAAAGGACTGGTAAGAAAAAGCCGAAAGGTACCTAATTCCACCAAAGTTCTGTGTCACTGACTATGAGCCGAACAAGCTGTCGTCCTTTTTTGGTGCCAGTAAGGACCCTAAGGCCGACCAGGACAAGCATAGTCGGGAAGGTAATGTCGTGTTCTCATACGACACCTCGATTGCCCCCAAGATATTCGACTTCTCCGGCCTTTTCCAGCCGAAAACGATTATCCCAAAGACAGAATATGACCCTGAAAACACCCCCCTTGGTCTTTATCTTCATGGCGATGTCGGATCAGGCAAGACCATGCTCATGAATATGTTTTACCTGACACTCCCACCGAACATTCTCCGAAAAAAACGCATACATTTCAATGCTTTCATGCAGGACGTTCACCGGCGGATGCACAGGGAAAAAATGAAACATGGGTCCTCGTTCGACGCACTGCCCTTTGTTGCCGCCGACCTTGCGGAAGAAGCGAGTGTGTTGTGCTTTGATGAATTCCAGTGTACTGACGTTGCCGACGCTATGATACTGCGACGGTTACTGGAGGAAATGATATCACATGGTGTCGTTATGGTGGCAACATCCAATAGGCATCCCAATGACCTCTACAAAAACGGCATTCAGCGGGAGTCTTTCGTCCCCTGCATAAAGCTTCTTCAAACCCGACTCGAGGTGCTCAATCTTGACTCGCCGACAGATTATCGCAAGATAGCCCGCCCCGCATCTGGTGTCTATCACTTCGGACTCGACGACGCTGCAGTCGCGCACGCTAACAAGTGGTTTTCGTACCTTGGTGACCCCAAGGACCCCCCACACCCGGACACTAAAATAATATGGGGGCGTGAAATCAAAATCCCATTGGCTAGCGGGAGGGCTGCGAAATTCGATTTTCAAGATATCTGTGGCAAGCCAACAAGTGCGGCAGATTATCTCGAGTTGACAAGGCACTACGATGCATTTGTCGTAGAAAATATACCCTCAATGGATATAAATTCAAGAGACGTAGCACGAAGGTTCATTACATTTATCGATTCTATATACGAAGCAAAGGTTGCCACCAAACTGCCGGCAGTAATTTCATTTATTTTCATTTTTCCATTACTGACCACAAGTTTTTGTTGCAGGCGGCGCTCGTTCTTACTTCAGAAGTCCCAATCAGCCACATATTCATTGCGAACAGAAAACTAGCCCACTCCATGGACGGCCAACAAAAGAGCGACGACGCCCAAGGCCTCAGCCCCGCGATGCGAATGTTGATGGATGATTTAGGCATGAATATGGATACCTTAAAAGAAAGCAGTATTTTTACCGGCGACGAAGAAAAATTTGCATTTGCTCGGGCGTTAAGTAGATTGAGTGAGATGGCTAGTTCGTTTTGGATTGAGAATAGAGGTGACTAGAGGAAGATATGCTGTGCAAAGTTAATAGAGTTTTAGACGTCTAGAGTTTTTTGGCTGGCTGGCTGGCTGGCTGGTTAGCTAGTTGGAAATAGTAAGAACGCGGTAGCATTCTGCTTGGAATATAATTACGTAACGTCTATAGAGAGGACTGTTTTGATATGTATAAATGATGCATGGTACAAATATATTCAAAGGGCTTCGATTTCGATCATCCGACCATGTGAGAAGTCAGTACATGTTAAATTCGCATACAAGAAGTAGTTGCCTAAATTATAAAATTCGACCCAAATTCGATCGGTATTCGAAACTTTAGGAGCCAAATCGACAACAACGGCATCATGTAGCCCCGTGTGGACGCGTCCACAGTATTGGATTACGTTGTAGCAAAGCATGGCTGAGCGGTGATAACTAAAGGGAAACAGGAGAATGAGACGACGATCGATAGCGGTAAAAAAAAAAAAGCTGTACTTATACAATTATGTACAAAAGAGGCACATGCATGTCGAATATATAAGGGTTATAGAAGCAGAAATTAGAAAAATCGGCCGCAATAAACCATTCAATGCTAAAGGGCTCCATGAGGAGGAGGACATAATTTCAAAAATTTCAAACCACATGAGAGGATATCATTAAATCTCGACTCGGTAAAGTAAGAAGTATGCTCATTATTACAACAAGAAAAGGAAAGATTGCCATCCTAAACGCCAATGACTCCAGAGCACCCCGTACAATTGACCCAATCCTAGTAGAGTGATCTGTCTTGTCATTTCTTAGAAGCCGAGCATAAAGAGCTCTCCGCGAACCACATTGTCCCGGCAACAACAATTAGTGACTTCACCGACGTAGCTTGCTCGAGATAGCGCTCTTAAGACTACTTCCACCGCCAATCTTCCATGCAGGTTTTCTTAGTTTATTCAGGGGGTTCGATCCGGGTTCCATTTTCATCTTATATCGACCTTGTACAATCATGTGTACAACATTGATGACACCGAAGGCACAGGATCCGATCGCTCGGAATGCTGCGAGACCAGCCACAGACCATAGGATGACTAAAGCGAAAGTTGTCAGGGGCCTGTACTTATTTCCGTAAACTGGAATCTGGAATAGCAGGAACTTACAAGTTAGGTAAAAATTATTAGCAACGTTCTCAGTGCTATAAGCTTCCGTGATTCCCATCGCAAGTAGTCCGTTGGCAATAATCCAGGAAATAACCATGTAGGTTCTGACACTTTTATAGTAGTCTTCTTTAAGCTGGTTTGGGTTTGGTGGGTCCGATGGAACTTCAACTCGATCACGAAGATTCCTTAGCGCTTCGTCATATCCTGAGTCGATATCAAGTTGCTCGGATGGAAGCTCAATATTGACGATATCACCTTTCTCCTTGACGACAGCACCCAAATCAGTATTGATGACGTTATCACCCTTTGTACCCCACGTAACGTCGTGCGTATTGCAAAAGGCATAGATTTGCAACGTGCATATGTAAGACGGCAACATTGCAAAATACTGGGCCGATGATGTGATCATATGCCATGGTTCGAGATATAGGATGGACATCAAGAAGTAGAGACCGACTGTTGAGCAGACCGAGACCACCATATTCATGAGTAGATTCTCCCCGGCCTGGAATTCATCTGGACTACTTGTAACCGTCCGGATCACCAGGTAGAAACCTATGGAAGTGGTATATGCCATGATAAAACCAAAGGTAACCATTGACCAGAAGAACAGCCGGTTTGCACTGAGGACAGGAATCGTTAGACTAACACACAAATGATTCTCGATAGCTTTTTGACTTACCCTTGGGGTCTATTCCCCAAAGAGAGAATAAACTGGATGCAAATAAGGAGCGTAATCGTGAATTTCATGAAGATAAAAATCCTTTTACCCCAGCCATGGCCAAAGGGGTCTATGGTCGGATCTGTCAGAGCCCCAGCTACAAAGTAGAAAGTAAGGTAAAAGTTTGCCTTTAATTCAAAATGTCAGTCTCGATAGGTGCTAGAATGAATTTATTTGGGGAGCCTACCAACGAGAAAAAGGTAAATAATAGAGAAATAAGTTGGTAAAAAAACTCAATATGTAGAAGTATCTTCCGAATGATAGAATGATCCGTCTGCCATATCTGTTTAAAATGACTTAAACTGTAAATAGCAGCGAAGAAGGCTCCGTTTAGCCATCTACGGCGTTGAGAGACAAACTCCGGAACAGCATCTGGGAAATAGTTGTATTAGATTTCAGCAAAACCAAACGGCGTAATCAAGATACTCACCTGGTACATCGGTTTCACCTGTTGCGCTCTTAACATACTTTAACACCCACCTCTCTCCTCGCTTTGCAACCAACTCCCAGCACAAGATACGATCTTCTGCCAAGTACATATTGGCGGTGAAGACATCTGCGTCTCTTCCGTGCAGAGTCTCTCCTTTGAAGTATTGGCTGAGCGGGCCGTGTCCAGTCACGGGGTCATTTTGAAGGGCATAGTACCGATAAGCTGAGAATGCGCCCGGCAAAACCGTGATATATCCGAAAACTGACTCAAGGGGCTTGTCGAGGATATTTGATATCTTGTACTCGAAATTCTGTGACGCTACAAGCGGACTGAGCAAAGCTGAGCCACCCTTACCAGTCATAGCTTTAATCTCGCCGCAGGCACCAGCGACATTTGAATTCGTATCGAAGGCCTTCCACAAATGATAGAGTGATGTAGCACCGGGCCGTGTTCCAACATCCAACAATATACAAATGTTGGGATCCAGAGCAGCGCTGAAGGCATTGAAAAACCAACGATGTGAGTTCAACTTCTTTGAGTTCTTTTCTTTGAGGCAGAAAATGGTTTGTACTGGAACGATACCCTTTTCGGCACCTTTGAACTTCAAGTCGGCGTCTAAAGATACCTGTGTCGTATATTCATAGACGTGTGCTGTGACTTCTCGGCCGTTGACCAAGTTCTTTGCGATACCATCTTGGTAACAACCCATTGCGGCAAGAGCGTCTAGGACCCGAGGGTGGATCTTTTTACGCCCGTCGGCGACGATGCAAACAACGATCTTCTGCCACCCGTCCTTTCCCCAAACTCTGGATTTGCTACGAGAACACATATGTGCAATATTTCGCATTACTCCGTGCATGGTTCTTGTGAAGCAAATTTCGTCTTCGTTATACATCGTGACGCAAATGCAAAGTTCAGTATCTCGCTTCAAGATATTCTGTCGTAATTGGTAGCCTCGATTGATAAAATCATCGGGATCACATGTTACGGCAGTATATCTCATTGATGTATATTCTTCTTCATCTCGACGAGGTAAAAAGGAATGCAAAATCGAGGGGATTTTGCATTCGAGAATAAGCTCTCCGTTGATAAGGCGAACCTGTTTTTGGGATTTTTGAGCTTTTCGATGCCGCCTCTCTGTTGCTCCAGTTGGGGCAGGGCCATAGTGCTGGCCTCCGGCCTCAATTGAAGCTTCACCGAGATCTTCTTCATCAATCTTCCGGTAAATGTCGTCCTCAGCTTCTATGGTGACAGTATTGTCGGTGTCATATGAAGTCGTGCTTAAACTTGATTTGTGAGACCTGAGCGCTGGTTTACCATCTCTTCGGTCCTCAAAGACACTTTCGTCCTCATCGTCCTCATCGTCCTCATCGTCCTCATCATCATCATCATCATAGGAATCTGTCTCGTAGGTCTCCGCTGATGTGCTTGCAAGAGAACTGAAGTCGTCTCGGTGATCCTGTTTCTTCGAGAAAAGTGGGGGCGGTCGAGGGAGCGGTCTGGAATCCGCAGATGACGTCGTACTATAAACACCAGGCGTCACTGGTCTCGGACTACCGTTGAGATCAAGAGGTTCATATGTATGGGAAGAGGCCTGGGGTCGCCGCCAGTCTGCTGTTGTCCTCGTGGCTGGCGTCCATGGACGCTCTTCACCGGCCTGACCATTTGTGGGTGCCCATGGAAGAGGAGATTGGGAAGATGATGATGGGGCATATGCCTGGTTGTTTGTTTGCCGGAGTGAGAACAGTGTTGTTGTTCTAGAAGGGGACATCAGGCTTGGAGAGACAGGACGATATGATCGATGCGGCGTGGCAGGTCTACGACCAGAAGGTATAAAGTTTGAGTCAGCAACAGATTCAACATAAGGTCGTCGATATGTTCCTATGTTCCGAAGTAAACAGGGAGGATATGCAGCCTCAATCTGGATCTCCATTTTGAACAAAGTATAGCTCTGTCCGCGGTTTTGATACTTCAGAACTGGCTGTTGTGCGAGAGCGTCGAAAATCGCGTTTCGTAGAACCCACATCCGGGTCCATGCGCCAATTTTTAAGACTCTGAGATCGCTGGAATATTTGGCAGATGTATATGTGGAATTCGATATCTACTTACGGTTTGTAGGACGCCGGCTCTTCAAACTGTTGTGCCATCATTCTGACACTGCCTGACGAAGGTTGCCCAGTAATTCTTCGGGATTGATATTGGGAATTGTACCCATCCTGAGGTTGTCGGCTGCTGCTGCTGCTGTAGTCATACCCTGGTGGAGGGCCTTGGTTGTCCATGGCAGCGGCAGTGATGAATTTGCGATGGTTCTCGATCGTATGGCCTTTCTCTCAAGCTTTGGGACCAAGGAGGATAACCAGCTAAGCTATCCGTTGCCTGTTTTGTTCCTTATAGGAAAAGCTTGGGCGAGCTCCGCGCCTGGGCGCTGTGCGTGAAGAATGGGTGAAATGAGGTGGGATTTGGATGATGAGGGGGAGAATGCAAATGGTAATTTACAAGAAGGGAGACGGGCACCTGGTGAAAGAGGGTAATGGGAGAGGGTAATGTAAAGAGGGAATGTTGATTGTGTCCGCGTCGACAAGCTAGATTGGAAGTATCATCGCAGACGAAGTGGGCAAGCTCCAGGTGACAGGCGCACACACGTATTAAGTATCTGGATCTGGATCTGTGTCTATCCGGCCCGGCCAAACAAGGCATAGTAATTGCATTGCATCTCATACTGTGTATCTAGCTGCAACGGAGCTGACGACCCCTCGCCGTGTTTATCTGTCCCAGCAGCCCCTTGTTTCCTCAGCAACGCGGCTGTAACGTGGGCGTTATGATCGCCATTGGCTCAGCCTCAAGATTCGGTTGTTGGCTCTGTTATTTCGCCGGGAAGTTGTCATGGTAACACAAACACCTACCGCCCAGACTCAAACTGCTGTACCGCCACATCTCTCATACGCCACATATGATGTTCGACCGCATGTGGCTGGCAGAGGCTCGGTTCGGCTGTCGCCCGCGTGGACAATTATGCATGCGGCCACACATATGCACAAGAAGTACTTAGACTATACCGATGCAGCTTGCAGGTGCCTCTTACGTATACGTTACGGAAGGTCCTTACTTTATTGCTTTAATTCGATCGCGACTACATTACATAATATAACCCCGATCAATCTCGGCTCCCACAGTACTATCCGTAACTATCGATATCATCGTCAAAACGGGGTCCTGTATAATTCCTGAATACTTACGTACTTCCTTACCTGCACAGGTACTTATTAAACAATGTCTAAAGGCACACCGGATTCTCGTAACGGTCCGGAAAGTTTGATAGATCAAATTGCAGATGGAGAGTAAGCCATACCATTCATGTCACCTCCTTCAATCTTTCTATCTTCGTAGCTTAGTACGCTAACGTTAATAACATCATGACTTCCCTGTAGAGCACCAGAGTCCACAGATACCAAGGTCAGATACGCAGCCTATGCCAGCCGTTTAAGGACAATCCTAGCAAGCGCACATCGTTACGTCGCATACACGTTAGTCCAATAATTCGTAAAGAGATTCCATATCATCAAGCTTTCACTCACAGGCCTGCCCGTCTCCGTTATTGTCGTATAGCTCCGACATTGGTGAATCATTCCGTCCAGTTGCACACCCTTGGCTGGTCCGTTCTGCCTATGGGGTTTCTTGGTTGTATATAACAGGTATGTACTAACTTCCCTTACAAAAACACCCAAGATACTCAGGTAACCTACGTATACAGTAATCTAATCTATGTTCTAGGCGACGTCGCACACGAATCATACAAATCTTATCTTCGGAACCAGGAATATCTTCACAAACTGCCCCCAAACTTAAGACCTAATTCACTAGAGTCGTTTTCGGTGGGCAAGCATACCAGTAGCCCTGTCAATGTCCCCTTAAAGGATGACTATCGTGTGGTTGGCGTTCAGAGGGCCATATTTCAATCGGTAAGTTAAGCCAAGAGAAATAAACCAACTGCCATTCCAAGTTTGAATTAACCACCCCTCTCGTTACAAGGTCGCTTCGATGCTCTTCCCCGCTCTTACTATTCACTCCGTTGTAAAATATAGCGGTAAAGCTATGAAAGATGTTAAGAACGCTCGGCTACGAACGTGGGGCCCCATTGGGCTTGGTTTGGCCGTTGTTCCGGCTCTACCCTACTTATTCGATGAACCTATCGAACACGCTGTTGAGTGGGCCTTCGAAAAGGGTATCGAGGCTTACGAAAAGAAGGGGCTTCCGGGATCGAAGGGGGGGGAACTTTAGAGATCCGAGATTGCAGTGAACGATGATTTACTTCAATTGCATTGGAGTTTTTTTGTTATTTTTTTTTTAACCTAGGTAAGTAGGTATTACAAGGAACCAGAGGCTTTTCTGGGACGGAACATCCACTACATCAGCTTTTGCAGCAAGCAAGACGTCTTGACTACTAGATAAAGCGTTTTAGAGCTTAAAAGCAATCCCAAAACCCCTTCAAAACCCTGTTGGCCAGTATAATATTACCAGAATCCCCTTTTCTTCCAGCCCTTCCGGCCCCCCTTTGTCTTCCGTGCCATTGTATTCTTTGGAGGGTTCGAATGAGAGTGTTTGAAGCAATTGGGACGTCAGTTCTATCTACAGCTGTACATACGAATTCACATGGATGATATAAAATTCATAAAACGCATGCATGATACATCACTTCTTTATATATCCGGATGGAAGCACATTTATCTACTTTCTAAGCAATAATGTAAAATCAAGTGCAAAATATGTAGTTTCGCGTTCAAATCTGCCATAAAATTATATAGCCAATGCTTCAGCATATATTAGGCATCTGGTGCGTGATATCATATACTTAGCTAACCGGCCCTGGCGCCCACTTGAGTTTTGTGTTGGTCGTGGTAACCATTGCGGGTGAGGCAATGCAAAACTTCCGGCCGACATTCCTGACGACATCTCGAAAACTCCCTCCGACCCGCCGCCTTAAAAACAAAAATTCCCTTCACTACCATCACCGAGTCCGCCGGAACCTCCAAACCACTCAACCGCCTCCAATCTACTCCCAAGGCCTCCAAAATGGTTGCATATTATACAATTGCCGGCAAGCAGGTCGGATCTCATATCGTAGGTCCCAATCCCCAATGGCGCGAACAATCGTGCATTTGCCCACCCAATTATAAACCCCAAAACTTCCGATTGATCATACCTTTTAACGATCGTTTACTCTTGTAGCTATCGATTGCCACCCTAAGCACTGTTTTCGGACTCTCCTACCTCTCGATGGGCGGCAGCAAGAAGCCACAGGCTACACCTCCAATCCAGGCGACAAGCAAGGACGAAGAGACCTTCATCCAGAACTTCCTCAAGGAGGCCGAGGCCGAGGGAAAGGCAAAGCATTGAATCGAGGATATGGATACAATGCATGTATATATTTCTGATAGACTAGCCAAAATTTAGCCTCGAGCCCAAACGTTCTTAAGAAGTACAAGGAGGAGTGGGGTGATCGGGGAGGATGTGAAAGCGCTTGGATTTTCGAAGCTATACAAAAATGTTCAAATGCATCTCTTGCCTGATATGATCTGATACGTCAATAGTATCACATGTATAAAAAGTCGCCGGTCCAATTTAAAAGCCGTTGCTCTAAGCTCTCTGACCATAAATTCCCAGCCATGAGAACCTCGGGTACGACCCGGACAACTCTTCAAGGTTAAAGCCTTGAGACGGCGTTAAATTCTTATATTTAACTAGAGTCGTACTTATACATTCATGAATTCACACCCCTTCGACCCGGGAAAAATCACAAAACTCGCTTTCGGAAACCATAACGCAGGCAACTAAAATTAAAACAGAATGGAGGCTGCTATCAAAACATTCTTCTCATCGCCACGCTTTGCTGTTATCGGCGCTTCAACGGACACTGGGAAGTACGGTTACAAAGGTACGTTTGAAGAAGAAGAAGAAGAAGAAGACAAAATACTAATCATGGGATCGACAGTATTCTCCTGGTACGTTTCACATAGCCTACCTGTCACCGGAGTCAATCCAAAGGCCCCGGTCATACTCGAGCGACAGACAGTCTCAACCTTAGATGGCCTTGAATCACCATCCGAAACATCAATCTCAATCATTACTCCACCGGCTATCACGCTCAAGACCCTAGAGAAGGCGAAGGAACTTGGAATAAAAATAGTTTGGTGCCAACCCGGTTCCGAGTCCGACGATGTACTGAATTACGCAAAAGAAAATGGCATCACATGTATTGCCAACGGGGCCTGTGTTCTCGTTGATGGAGAAAGCGGACTGAAGAACGCCGGGAGGGACTGGAAGTTATGAAAACTCGTTTCTTGACTTCAGTATATCCCTGCTGATAGACAATGCGATGGAATAGGGATCGTGGCCTTTTTTCACCTACGAATATGTTAGAACGGGCAAGCTGCCCTCAGCAATAAATAAACTACATTGAGATATATCCGTGTCAATATTTCCTTTAATACACATTAAAAAATATTTACATACGCTGAGCACACATATACACATATATACATGCGGTACACCGACCGCTAAACTCGACGATCTCGATAATGGCGTCAAGATCCCATTCCCCGAACGGGTAGAATTATGCCCAAACTACTGCCCCCTCGAAATTTAGCCAATTAATCTACTCGGCCCCTTGTAGGTTTCGAGCGCTGGACCGCAGACAGAAGTTCTACTGCAGCTGTTGATTCTGGTTGTACAGAAATCAATTTGGTCCCGACTCCAAAAATATATACGCCTACGACGACGGAGGAGGCTACAATGCCTATCGTTTTGAAATTTAACCTTTTTGTAGAATACTCTGAAGTTGTTTCATATTGTGATGTTGACTTTAATCCACTTTTTAATTTGGTCCTGGCGGATTCGAGGACGGCAACGTCTTCTGAAGATAAAGGTTCCTCATCTGGCAGTGTCCCACGCTGTCTGTCGTAATATCGGAGGGAGGCTATGAGGTCTGCTGGCGAGAGTTTAGATAGCTTTCCCACATTTGCGGTAGTCGCTTGCAGAGTCTCGGACCTCTTTTCTGTCTGTACGCCAGGGCTCTTGTTCATTGCAGTGCTTGATGGGCTGACCAAGAATTCGTTGTTTTGGGAATGGATACCAAGAGAGGTGATATTGGAGCGAGCTACTGGTGAAGCAGTTTCGTCAATACCAAGAGTTCCCGTCCCTCCGGGGGCAGGCTGGACAGTTTGTTGCTGGAGCTCTGCTAGCTCACAAACCCTAGGGGTTGAGGTTGTTTCGAATGTATTTGGAGCTACTCTAGTATTGTTAATCTGACGTAGTGTACCTGGAGAAACTGGTGAATGGGATGTCGATGGAGTAGTGGCTTCGAACTCTGACTGGTTTTTGAAGGTCGATTTGACAGTTGTAGGCCGAGCTGGCTTGACGATCCGTGCATACGCATATGGTTTGCTCATGATATCTAGCGTCTTGAAGAGGGACTTGTGGATTGAGACAAATTTCTGAGTCGTACCCCGAGTTTTATATGACCAATTGAAATCGTCATTTCGAATTTTATGATGGCGGTTGTTGTATTTTTTCTCGGAATTTATGTGAAACCAATCTTTGATTGTAATTGACGGCGTGTATGGACGGGATCTCGCGATATAATCTGAGTTTGAGTTCCTAGTAGAATTGCGTGACTGATCGGGCGAAACAGGCGGGAGGTGACACTGCTGCAAACCCGAACGATGATGTACAAAGAATACAAGGGACCTGCGCAAGGTGGGACTCGGGTTGTGTTTTAGGGCAGGATGCGGCTGCATAGCTATTGGTATCCGGAAAGTTGCCATGGTGGATGGAAGCCGGAAACTGGCGTCATCGACGATGCCAGATTATTTAAAGACTTAAGAGGTGTAATTCATATGAAGTTAGACAAACTTAAGCACTTGGTCTAGATCTAGTATGTCCTTAGGCAAGTATGGTGGTGTTGGTGTTATAGAACGGGCAATTGGAGGAGACGAAAAGGCGTGGGTATCGATGTGTACTATTTGTCACTCTCTGGTGAATTTGAAAGAATGAAAGAAAGAAAGAAAGAGAGAAAGAAAGATCAAATGAGATAAAGCTACCTACCTACCTACTAAGTACTTACCTACTCTTAAGTACTTAAGTAGGTACCTCCTAGTGGGCTGTAGGAGAGTACTAGAGTCGACAGGTGCGGGGTGCAATGCAATGCAATGCAATGATGGATCCTGCGTTGTAGCCGACAACACAGTGGTCATGAGACTGTTTGCTAGATCAACTCTTTCCAAAACCGGTACTGGCAGTATTTGGTAGTTAATGTGTTGATCAAAACCGATCGTCGTTGCATGTGCAACACAAAGTCATTCAGCCAGCAGTCCGAGTCTGCTGTCCTGCACTGTAGCATGTAGCCAGCCACCCACATTTCCGTATATAAGTACTTAAGTACTTACTTAGGTACCTACATTGTATTTGATACATGTATTTACATTCATTTACCTCGAATCCAGGCAGAGAGGTACATACATCCAGCCAGGTCGAGAAGGTGTGGGAAGCAACGAGTGGTTTCTTTTGTTGCGTCATATACATAAAGTGGTGGGATCTGACACATAAGCGTGACAGAGAGGAAGGCGCAGGCTGAGGATTTACAAGAGGAGGTCCAAGAGGAGCCTTCGGGTTCGGGGTGCGATCGGATTGGATTTCGAGTGCTCGAGTGGGTGGGGGATCGATACTTTGCCAAAACGCACACACCCAAAATGCACTGCACTGCACTGTGGGTCCGCCATAAGTAAGTAAGTGTACATAAGTAAGTGTACTTACTTAAGTAGGTAACTATATTGTAAGATACTCTGGATAAATGTAGAATCGATGGGTGGTATGGTACGGTATGGTATGTAGGTCGACTCCCAAGTTATCATCCGAATCTTCTCGATCACATTTCCCTTTCCCTTCCCTTTCCCTCTCCCCTTCTTCCTTTCCATTTATTTTCCTTCAGCACGATTCGAGGCCTCTGTCCATGTTCTTCTTGATATATCTACAAAAAAGAATGCAAACGCTTCCGATAATGATATAGATTAACTTCCCACCATATCATAAACCTGTATACCCCTCCCCCTTGAAGCCTGCCCATCCTCGGCGTTTATTCGATATTCCCGCAGCAGTTTGAATTTCCATCGCCGCTGTCGAACTGTCTCGTCGAGTCTCGTCGAGTCTCTCCACCCTCTCGCCACCTCTTCCTCTTCCTCTTCCTCTTCTTCCTTGAACTGACCGGGTCATGCCACAATCTCTTTTTTTCTTCTTTTCTTCGTTTAAGTTTTTACATATTCCGGTTTATATAAAATAAAACCCTTAGTTATTTGTTTTATCTTATTTTATTTTATTTTATTTTATTTTGTCTTCTCGAATTTCGAATTTCGAATAATACATTTACACATCCATCAAGCACAAGCTCAGCCACAGAAGAAAAAAGAGCCAACAACAACACAATCCAATTTCAATACAACACACCCACACCCCCCATTGCCACACCACACCCACACCAAGGTTACAGAGGTTACGGTGGTTACAGAGTCCAGCAATCCAAATTCCTCTTAACCTCCTTTCGGTCTCAGTCCCAGACAGCTGACGACTTCCGCTTCTGCTTCCACTTCTGCTTCCACTTCCTTTTCAACTCCCTCGACCTCAATAAACTACTACTTAGAACCTTACTTATCTACTACCTGGGTTACTTCTTTCTTTCTTTCTTTCTTCATTCTTCTTGTTTCATTCGCTTGCCGTTCCTTTGAAGGCTCACCCGTACAGTCACCCAACATTCTCCCAGAACCCCGGAACCCTGAGAATTAGGTATCTCACCGACTACCCATAAGCAATCGCTTAGTAGTCTCTCTCTCTCTCTCTCTCTCTCTCTCTCTCTCTCTCTATCTCTCTCTCTCTATCTATCTATCAATCTATTCATTCACATCTACAGCCTTTTATTCTCCGTCCCTCCTCCTCCTCTTCTCCTTCCCCTTCCTATTTTATTTCTATTATTACTCTCTCTTACTCTCTGCTCTCCCATCCTATTATCTTCTTTGCTTTTTGGGATTTGTTGTTCGGTATGGATTCTAAATATGGGCGCCGAACTGAGAAAAAGTCCGCTGGGCCACCTCCAGGAATAATATCCTCCACATATTCCGACGATTCTTATAGTCGTCGCAGTTATTATTCGGACCGAGAGTCAGGTGACTACTCAACTTCAACAGCATCCTATGAAGATGTCGACGATCGCCGACTTTATCGAACTGAACCAAAATACATCCCGGAGGTGAAACCGTCTACACCTCCCTTGTTCGCCCATCTCTTTCCTTCAACCCGTCGTTTGACGATCAAACATGACGATGATTTCGATGGCAATATGAATCTCCGGGTCGATACCAACATGTCTCATTCTTCCGAGCCTCCCAGGTTGATCACTCTTTTTCACATGAAAATGAATAACCTTAAGAATCGCGACATGGTACTCCGACGGTATGGTCGTGATTGTGGTCGTGAAGTGGTCAACTTCCGTCGAAAATATGCCAAGCCAGCTTCAGGGCGTCCAAAATTAGAACGATCTGGAAGCAAGCTAATGAGCTCTCTCATGGGCAAAAGCGACCCGAAGGATCGAACTCTTTCACGTCAAGATAGCGGATACGAATCCGGGGAAGATGATGAGGAAGAGCTTTCTGATGTCGAACAAAAAGGTCATGCTCCCGCCGACACTACCAACCATGGCATTCCGACAAACACCACCATGCTCGAATTCTCAAATTATGCTCATGTCGACCTGAAGAGACGTGGAAGCAAAGGTAGCAAAAGATACGAATTTGAGTACTGGGGTAAAAGTTACGCCTGGAAACGTAAGATCACAGTTTATGGCCAGGAAGAGTCATGCTCATACTTCTTGGTCAATACCGCAACCAACAACATCATCGCTCATATTCGTCCTGATAACCTGTCACCAAGCGAGGTTGCAGAGGAACAAGCCAAGGGAGGGTTTGTCCCACCATCGACTATGTGGCTTTGCGATGACACAGACGACTCAGTTGTCGGCTCGATGTGCGACGTTGCCGAGTAAGTCTAGCCTTGACCTGTAGTGCGTTGGGACGCACTCTCTTTCCCTCCTTCTTCCCCCATTCTTCTTTGTTCTCTCTATTCAGAACCCGTCGGCTAACAAATCATTTAAAGTGTTGTGGTCGCAACTGGCATCTACGTCCTTGTTGACGATTCCATCAAAAGGAAGTTTTCCCGTCGTAAAAGAGTTGTCCAACTCGTCTTGCCAACGATGCGTGGAAACACTGTCAAAATGAATATGGAATATGTTGGTCCAAAGCGTCTCATCGACCAGGTTTTCAATCGACCAGGAAACAACACACGAAAGAACAGTGTTGCTACAAGCACATCCAGCAGAACTCCAGCTCTCATTCGCACGACCAGTTCTTTGACTACGACAGGGGCCCCTGCAGCTGAGCGGGTTGTAAGCCGGCCAGCCCCTTTGCGTGCAGCTAGCACACGCGTTTAGGGTCAAAATTTTTTATGCGAACCGCCGCAAGGCGGCCACCCCATCCATCAATATTTATATTGAATATAGACTCAATAATCTGTTTCGTGCCGTCGGGGTTTTACGGTTCGACGGCGTTATGCGTTTGATTCCCCCCCCCCTATTTTTGTTGTTTTATTATCTTATTTTACAAAACTGCATTCGAGAGTCCTGGAATATGGAGTTAGACAAGCGAAGCGCCACGACCTTTGATACAATATGGGTTCGGTAGGATTAATGAAGGAAAGGTCCGGGTTGTTTTATGTTATCAAATTTAGCCATCTAATGTCGTTCCTACTTTGCATGCTGCCATTATTCATTGGCTCATGAATGTGAATATTGCACCATCTATATACCCTCATTTTAATGTTTTTTTTTCTTACCCCCCCTCCCTTCTGGCGGAAATCCCCTCTTTACGATCTCTCGGTTTCTTTTGCTTGTACGAAAACGCTCTGTATTGATATACGACATCTTTCCCTGTTTTTTTAATTTTTTTTAATTGTTAGGGTGGTGTATCTGATAGCTACTTTTCGGATATTGCACAACATTGGTAGTGATATACTTAAATCGTCCGTAGACTTTGCACTAAATATTGGGCAGCTGATGACGGGGATGCCACTCGCTTTAAAGCCAAATAGATGACAATTTTAAACCAAAACCCCCACAAACCGATAATCCATTGACCACGGGGCCATTTGGTCGATTCAACCGAAATCATATAATCTATGCCTCTTCGAGATCTGCCAACCCCAATTCGAGAGCTAGTGCTAATGTCAATTTGGCATGCTGTAGCATGTGCTCGAAGCTAAGATACTCAATCTTATCTTCAGTACTGTGAATTTTATCATCCGAATTTTCGAATGCACTCTCAATGACAAACTACGGAATGCGGTCAGAAACTCCTGCGACTTGGAGTGATATAGGTGTCAATTCAAGTACTCACTGCAGATTGGTAACCCGCCTTTGAGGCCGATGCATGGTCGCTGCACGCGTACCCGCACTGAATTCCGAAAATTAGTCTAGATATCGTTGAAAGTTGCAGTTTTTAGATGTTCACCTTTGTTTCAACATATGGAATATCGCAATAGGTAGATATGACCTTTTTGATGAACGCCGTGAGGCCGGGATCAACATAGTCTGTAATAACGCCCACGCTCTCCGGTTGGCCGGCATCCAAGGTCTTTCTAACAAATCCTGTCATGTCCTGTTGTAACATGGCACCAACTAAATATCCCTCGCTCTTGTAGTGATTGAAGATTGCTTGGCTACCGAGAAGGCCGCCTTCCTCCGCACTGTACCAGTGGAATTCAACTACCGCCCATATTTACTATTAGCATTCGTAGCGAGCAGGCACCTGGTTAGTAATGAGGAAGCCATACCGGGATTCTTGAAGGGAATCTTGGCGCCAACCAAGACCCTAAAGGCTTCGAGAATAGTGACCGTGCCGGACCCGTCGTCGTCAGCGCCTGGACTTCTCAAGAACATTGGTAGAAGGAGGTTAACGGAGTCCTGGTGAGCACCTATTGGCAAAATGTTAGAAGTCGATTAGACTAATTCAAAGGTATTTTGCTCTGAGAGAAGTTTTACCTATAACGACTCTCTTTGCGCTAGTGCTTTGGTAGCCAATCGCGGCATTGTCCTCTGATTTAGGGGGTATATGAGCAATGATGCTGTTTTGGCCCCATCTATGAACGAATGGAGCGACCGAGATTTTTGAATCTATAGAAGCGGTCTCATTCACCCGAGACAATAGCCAACGTGAACTCTCAGCGCCGGATGACGATTTATAATAACGAGTATAGAAAGAAGTGAACTTCTCCAAGTTCGCCTTCATGTTTTTGGAATCGAGTTTCGCGAGGAGTGGCCTGATGATGGCTTCATTTTGAGGCCGCGATGGGTACTTGTAGGTTTTCTTGGTGCTGGCTGCAGCATAGGACTCTTGGTGGTCCGTAATATCGATGAAGTTGGTGCCGACCTTGAGGAGGATACAGTCGGGTCAATCTACGTTCCCTTACAAGAAAGGCTCATTGGTGTGAAAGAAAACATCTTTGTAGAACCACAGACCTTTTTCAATTCCCATTTTTGCTCTTCTGTAACTTCTTTGGTAATGCCGGGTTCTAACTCAATCAACCGCACCTCCGTCGGGTCGAGTCCAAGAATACTAGCGATATCAGTCTTATCTATATCCGCGATGGGCTGTTGTAATCCAGCACCGTGCTGGTGGATATGAGCAGCATTCGCTACGGCAGAGAGGATAGGAAGGGCTAAGGCGAATGAACGCATGGTTTTTTTTTTGCTTGCAAAAGTTTGATTTCTTGGGGAGAATGGTTGTAAGATCTCGGAGGTTTTTGGGAAACCGCCTTGGGTTTGTGATCAGCCACTGGAGGGTTTAAACATTCCCCAGACACGACAAAGCTCCACACGCCCCAATCGGCGCCTCGGCTTAACCCATTCCTCTTCAGCATGGATATGCCATCGTATGTTGTTCCCTCCGCCCCCCATGCTACATCACTTCAGTAAGCTCTCTCTGACGTCCATATAGAATTTTCACGTACCATTGCATTTGCAGCCATCTGATTCTCGCGACTACACGCGATATTTTCAAGCTGCCCTGTCGTCAACATCCTGGTCTGGATGGCGCCCTGATCGTTCCTCTCCCACCGCCTCCTCGGTCTGCCGACTCAGACAACGAGAGTGACGACAATGAAGAAGAAGAAGAAGAAGAAGAAGAAGAAGAAGATGATGATGATGATGAAGATGAAGATGATGGCGATGCGCGTGAAGAGGAAAATGAGGAGGGAGAAGGAGAAGGAGAAGGAGAAGGGCAGGGCGAACGGATGGATATTGATCGACGTACCCAGGAAACCTCGTCTGGTCATCGCACTGAGAACCAAACTAGCAGTGTAGGACAAGGCTATGGAGCTCCCCCGAAAGAAGAACCTGAGCCCAAGGATTACACTCTACTACTCTCTTCTATTCGTGACAGAAGGCCATGTGTTATTAGGCGGGAAGACGGATTTGAGAAGCGTTTGCTTTGGAGATGTGGGAGGTGTCGCCTCATATTCGGATACCAGATCTACGACGAGGGCCTTGAGGAATTGTCCAAAGGAGAAGATGACGAAATCAATAAGCAGAAGAAAAGCCAGTCTAACAAGAACTATTATGTCTATATTCTTCCTGGAGGGCTCACAACAGCTGCTGGCATGGGGTCTCTAACAGAACGTGATCTCCAGTTAGTTGAGGAGTAAACCTCTGCAAAAGTTCAGCTCACAGATTACAAAATCCTGTGTATCGGATTGCCAAATTTATTGCGAATATCTTGTCCGGACCGAAAACTCCAGCATTACTGTAGGTGGAAAAATAATAATAATAATAATAAAAGCCTCTCCCCCCAAGAAAACAGTGCAAAACAAAGGGGTTTTAGCGAACAGAAAGTTAACAAAGTCCAAACAACGCCTCCAGTCCTCCCAAAGGACGCTCATTGAATGGCAAGGTAGCTTAATTTGCGAGAATCATTTTGACAAAATCTAAACCCAAAAAGATCTGTAAGAACAGGGGCATCGAATTGAGGATTCTTGGAGGGGTAAGAGAAGGGGGCATACCAATATAGTTAACAGTCGGACCCGTGATTTCCATTCCCTTCAACAGCTCCGATACTTCAGCATCTGTCAATTTCTCCCCGAGTGTGGTTAAAACTAGCCGATTGACAGGGCTATTAGTACCTCCCCCCGAGATTTCCAAAGCTTGCCGGGCAGGCAGAGTCGAGCTTGATATTAAATACCGTATTTGAGTTCCCCAACACCAATGACTCCGGTAGAATCCTTATCGAACACCTGGAAACCCCGAATATATTCCTCTGGCGGGCCAGGATCACGGAAACCTCCCGGACGGTTCAAGATTTTTAAGAAAGTCTCAAAATCAACTATTGGTAGTGTCAGTTTGTTCATTTGTTGAGTTGGTGATATAATAGGTGGGGTCTAAGAGGTCAAGAAATTTTACATTCACCCTTGACACCTTGAGCGACTTCGTCGACTTCTGCCATTGTAGGGTTTTGACCACATGCTCGTAGGAGATCGCCGAGAGATGATGTTGGGACACGGCCGGTTCCCTTTTTGTCGAAGAGAGCAAATGCTTCCTTGTAGTTTGTGTTTGCGGCCTAGATAAATAGTAGGTATGAGATCTCTAATTAGAGGAATCGGGACAGACTTGAACTTTGAGGAAGCTACTGGAGTATAGTCTACCATTTTAAAATATTTTGGATATATTTGCAAGGGTGCGTGAGTTTAGACAAGGAACTTAAATATAGTAAGAGGGCGGTATGCGATGGTGATGGTGATGGTGATGGTGATGGTGATGGTGATGGTGGGGGTTGAAGGTGAGGGAGGTGTGGAGTTAATGTTGTCAGTTCGTCAGTCAGTTAGGGGAGGAGACTTGTTTATTTTATATAGTACAACTGTCTCCCAGCTAGTTACCAGCAGCCACCCCCCCCTGATAATTCTACTTACAAGGTATATAAGTAGTACTTACTTACTAAGTAAGTACTTAACATAGCTCGGTAAGTTAAACTAATCTCTTAATAACTATCTAGTAAGTAAGTATTAAGTACTTACTAGTAGCTACCTGGCTTTGCAGGTAAGCTGGGCAGGTAGAGGGTAAACCTTCCGACCTACTCAAGCACTTTCCTACTCTTACCGAGTACCTCCCAGCTAAAAAGCGCATAGCGATAATTACCCCGCTTGCCTACAATACATTCAACGTGAGAGACGGTCATTCAAGCCATCTGCAAGTCTGGCGTCTAAACGGAAATTCAAGACCATCTTCTTGCAGTTCCTCCTCACCATCTCAATTGCCTTCATCCTCGTCTTTAACTGGTCTCCCGAACTCGCATTGGCATCCATCAGAAGACTGCTCGGGCTTGCCCGCCAGTTCCCCATTTATCGCGTCGTACCTCCATCAAGGTCCGGCCTTAGCACCATAGCCAAAATGTCCGCGTTTAAGGCTCCACAGGCGCCACCCATCTTCAAACATGACCCGGAGTCTCTTATTCATGACACCAAAGCTTTGATTGAAAAATCAAGGAGCACTCTTGACCGTCTTGCTAGGGACATTACCCCAGAGACTGCTACCTTTGAAAATGTCATTGCCCCTCTGGCCGCCGATGAGAACGATATGGGCCTTTCGTCCCATATACTCGGTTTCTACCAATACGTGTCGTCTGATCCGAAGATCAGAGAGGCGTCTAGTGAGGCCGATAAACTCTTGAGTGTATGTCTTCTCTCCAAAAGTTATATTTTATCCCACCTAAGTATCATCCCTATATCATAATGCGTGTATACCTACACATCTTGTGTTTTTTGTTAAATTTGATCCAGAAGCTAACTTAATTGTCCGTTTTCTAGGAATACTCCATCGAAGCGGGGATGAGAGAGGATATTTTCAAGCTGGTTAATTCCGTGGCCAAATCCCCCCCTTCGAACCTTACACCAGAAGGCAGGCGACTCGTCGAAAAACTTAACACCGACTACATTCGTATGGGTCTGGAATTGGAAGGGCCCAAACGAGACCGTTTCAAAGAGATAAAAAAGGAACTCTCGGTTCTAAGCATCGATTTCTCTAAGACTCTCAATGAAGAGAATGGAGGAAATTGGTTTACAGAACAGCAGTTGGAGGGAGTTCCCACTGATGTTATCAATATTCTCAAAACGGACGAGAAGGACGGTGTAAAGAAATACTTTCTCACTTATAAATACCCCGATCTCTTCCCGACTCTCAAATTTGATATTAATGCGGATGTTCGCGAGCAAGTCTTCATTGGTAATGAGAACAAGTGCCCCGACAACCTACCGAGGTTCGATAAGACCATTCGCCTGCGCCATGAAAAAGCCCAGTTGCTGGGGTATGAAAACCATGCCCAGTATGTCTTAAAGGAAAAAATGGCGAAGTCGCCAGAAAAGGTCAACTCATTTTTGGGTGACCTCAGAAGCAAGCTTACTGAGGGTGGAAGAGCGGAAGTCCAGAAGTTGAAGCTGCTTAAAAAGATGGATGTGGAGGCTCGTGGACTATCCTTTGATGATAAATATTACCTGTGGGACCATCGATTCTACGATCGCCTTGTTCGAGAACAAGAATTCAATATCGACGAGAACAAAATTGCCGAATACTTCCCATTGCAAAAGTGTGTCGATGGCATGCTAACAATATTTGAAAGGCTATTTGGCTTAAAATTTGTTCAAGTTGCCGAGGATGGTGCACAGGTTGGGTCCGGAGAGCGCGGATGGCACGAAGATTGCAAGGTTTATCTTGTTCACGATGAAGAGTCGCTGGGCGGAGAGTTCGTCGGTTACTTGTATCTGGACTTACACCCTCGAGAAGGGAAATACGGCCATGCTGCAAATTTTAACCTAATCCCGGGTTTCCTTCGTGAGCCTGGTAACTCTACAAGCCGCAACTATCCATCTACTGCGCTGGTATCCTCCCTCTTTACCGCCCTAGCCTTTTCCTTGTAAATATACTAACTTCACCGCGAAGGTTTGCAACTTTTCTAAACCAACCCCTTCCAAGCCATCTCTTCTCAAGCACGATGAAGTCGTCACTCTTTTCCACGAGCTAGGCCATGGTAAGTCCGCCGCAAACTTGGTCTTCTAAATTCCAGCTAACCTCTTGATGTAGGCATTCATGACCTGGTTTCTCGAACCATATATTCAAGGTTTCACGGGTAGGTTAGACACGACTCAGCATAACTAGAGCACCGAGTTAAATTACATTCCTTAGAACGAATACTGTTGGTGACTTCGTCGAAGCTCCATCCCAAATGTTGGAAAACTGGTGCTGGGAGCCGGAGCAACTGAAGGAACTGTCTTCGCATTATGAAACCGGCGAACCGCTCCCAGATGGCCTCATCACCGCATTGATCAAATCTAAACATGTAAGACTCGACACTAGTGGTAGCGATGAAAACCCCGAGTACTTATATCAAGCCTTTTCGCGCTAGGTCAACGACGGGCTTTTCAATCTACGTCAGCTACATTTCGGAATTTTCGACATGCGAGTTCACGAGTTGAACCTGCCTCAGGACGAAAACATCGACTCAAGTGCTACCTATAACAATTTACGAAGTGAGATCGCAGGTCTAGATGGTCCAGCCGATCCTAAGTTCGGACAGGGCCAAACCACCTTTGGCCACCTCATGGGGGGGTACGACGCCGGATACTATGGGTACTTGGTAAGTCAAGTACCACCCTTAGCTGTCGACCTACTTCTATAAATTGTTTTATACTTACGTTTTCTATGTTTTACTATAGTGGTCTTTAGTTTTCGCTTCCGATATGTACTTCACCGGATTTAAGAAGGACCCTATGGATCCTAAGAATGGAAGACGGTATCGTCATGAAGTTTTAGAAAAGGGGGGCTCGAGGGATGAAATGGAATCTTTGAAGGCATTCTTGGGTCGCGAACCGAACTCGGAGGCCTTCTTCAAGGAGCTCGGCATTAAAAAATAAAGGATATAGCAAGACTAGCTTGTGTACACACATTTTGGTGTGGAATTATGTGCATGTACGTACTTGGGTGCCTTCTAGCTATAAAAAATAAAAGCATGTAGTTTCACATGCGATATCGCGATACCAAGCTGCGAGATAAAAGTATCCTTTCCTTCTACAAACGAATTGGGTATTGCATAGCCCCCCTAAGAAGTATATAAGTCTAGTAGTTAAGAGGCAGTTGATTTATCTACCCCGTAAATACCTACCTAGGTACTTACATACCGGTCCCTGTATGTACCTAGCAAGTAAGCTGTACGGTCTCGAATGTGTTGGTTGAAACGCGCGTTCCAGAAAGCAGCTTGGTCCCACTTTACATAGCTCAACCTCTCCACAAACCTAGACCTGCCTGTCTGTACCCTTCACATTTACTCAAGAATAACAGAACCCCACCACTATTTCTAGCTTGTTCTTGAGCTATACGTTGCTGTTACTAAAGCACCCTTCGCTCTGTCTTCGGATATACATCAATCATCATGTTTATCGCAAGATCAGAATATGGTAACCTCCATTGCGCCGGCTCTGCCTCATTCTAGGCGTCGTGGGTTATATGTGACATATGCTAATAGTTTTACCTCCTTGACAGACCGTGGCATTAAGTTCGTATCTCGTTCTATCTACTTAACTCCACTTCTCTCAGCAGCCATGCCCTAACGTCTCGACCCTGACTTTGTCCTATATAGCACCTTCTCGCCCGAAGGCCGTCTCTTTCAAGTTGAATATTCTCTCGAAGCCATCAAATTGGGTTCCACTGCTATCGGGGTACGGTCGATAACATACTTCCGCTCTTAAATCGCTTTATAGCCGTCCTAACATTGTATAGGTGGCCACGGGTTATGGCGTGATCATCGGTGTTGAAAAGAGGGTGACTTCTCCCTTATTAGAAGCATCATCGGTAGAGAAAATTGTCGAAATCGACCGACATCTCGGGTGCGCCATGTCAGGTCTCCAAGCCGACGCTAGGTCGATGATCGAACATGCCCGCGTGGAGGCGCAGAACCACACATTTCACTATGGGGAGCCGTTGCGGGTTGAGAGCGCCACTCAGGCGATATGCGATCTTGCCCTTCGGTTTGGAGAAGGTGCTGACGGGGAAGAGAGTATAATGAGCAGACCATTCGGAGTGGCTTTGCTCATCGCGGGCTATGATCAGGATGGTCCACAGCTGTAAGCCTTCCGAAGTAAATTAAAATATACCATCTCATACTTACCATGTGAATTTTGATGTATAAAGGTATCACGCAGAGCCCTCCGGGACCTTCTACCGCTATGATGCTAAAGCAATAGGATCTGGAAGTGAAGGTGCGCAAGCTGAACTGCAGAATGAATACCACAGCGTAAGTGCCTGCGTCAACTCCTAGTGTGCTTCTGCGTATGCTAATAGTATATTTGAATATAGTCCTTGACGTTAGCAGAAGCGGAAAATCTTGTTCTAAAAACGCTGAAGCAGGTCATGGAGGAAAAACTCGACAGCAAAAATGTGCAGCTCGCCAGTGTCACGAAGGAAAAGGGCTTCCGCATATACACAGATGCCGAGATGACCGAAGTCGTTGCGAGGCTGAATTAGCCCTGCAGCGCCTGCTATTTAGAACCGATTCAAAGGCCAATGGCTCGTGTCTACGATCAATCTGTGGCGATGTTAATTTTCTCTTTTTGGGGGGTCATCGATCATAAGACGGAGAAGTGTCGTAAATGACGGCACATTTGGCTTCCTCGTGGGAAATCCGAATTATGGAATATTATAGACTAAACTCGAAAATATTTACAATACCGTCATCCCCGGTGCTCAGTAAAAGTTCTCCGTCAATTGTGGTTCCCAGTTTATCCCATTTTGGACACCATGTCACCGAATTGATTTCATAAACACCATGCGCAGCTGGCACCTGCGCAATTACCTTCCATTCTTTGCTTGCTCCCGAATCGGCATCTGGTAGACCATTTTCAGTGCCGACCTCTTTATACAAGACAATCCGGCCATCTCCACCAGCAGTTGCGATAAGACCAGTCTTCTTGCTCCAGTCCACTGAATATATTGTTCGTGTGTGAACCTTCGGAAGACAAGCCTGCTCTTCCCAATTCTCCGTTTCGTCTGCTGTTCCTTTTATGATGGAAGGTGGTTGCATAGATGGCTCCTCCTCCTCCTCCTCCTCCTCCTCCTTTTTTTCAGGCTTTGGCTTGCGATGCCACACTCTTGCCGTTTGGTCGTCCGATGCGGAAACGAGTCTGGATTGGTGTCCATTATTCTCGAAAGATATGGACCAGACGGTCGAAGTGTGACCTGTTAGGACAGCACAACATACCCAATCATCGGTATCTTCCTTGTAGAGCCTGATTGTATCGTCGTAAGAAGAGGATGCGAGTAGCTATTTCTGTAGTATTAGTAACACATAAAATGTACAGAACCGATACTGCGGAAAATTTCCTACCTCTTCTTCTGGGTGCCAGGCTACCATTTTAACATCCTGTGAATGGTCCTGAAGCACGGCTATAGTTTCGTAGTTTTCATTGCCCATGTCTTCCCAAATCCAAACCGTCTTGTCTCTGGAACATGTGGCTAAAAAGGAACCGCCAGCGCTCCAGGCCACACTCTTGACTTCGCTATCATGTCCGTCCAGTACCACGGCAAACCTCCATTCTTCGTCCTCCTCTCGCTCTTCAGAGTTCAATTCGAGCGACTGCTCTCCGTCACCATGGGTGCCACGCTCTTCTCGATGCCAAATTCCAGTGGAAGAATCAAAACTTCCGGTTGCAAGAACGCTTTCGCCTTTGGCGTTTGGTTTCCATGATATGGAACGTACAGAGCGTTTGTGGCCGCCTTCGATGGTGCTGACAAGGGAAAAGTCCCGAAGGGAATATATCCTCACCGCCCTATCGGTCGAAGCTGTCGCAACGAGAGGCAGATGGGGGTGAGGGGCAGCACACCAAACCCTGTCGGGCTGGACTGGAAAGTTCCCTACCAGCTTGAGGGCCATTGCATTCCCTCACTATAGATGGGTGTTATGAGGCTAGGTACCGAAGTACCGAAGTATGCACTTCTTTAGATAAAATTTGGGGGGTTACAATCGCGAACGATGCTTCGGTCAATTGCAATTGAATCGAGGGTGGCGTTCGGGTTGCCTGATATTTTCTGCCGATTGGCTGTGTTGCGAGCATTTGCATGCCGCGGGGCTGGCAATTGCAATGTCTACAGGTCCTCCGCCATGCAGGACACTACATCTACGACAAAAGCGAAATATCTACATGCTAACCTTCCCGACTTCCTTTCCAACATGCTCTGTCATGCGGTAGCTACTTAAGTCGGTACCTATTGCTATGTTAATTCAGGGTGGGTTCCCCACACCTAGTTAAAAGAAGAGCCTCTCGATCCAGACAGCCGTTCGAAGCAAAATAAACAAAACATACAGAACAAAAAGAAACAAAGAAAGGAGGAAGAAAGGGGACAAACTCCAAACTCTATGTATGTATTTATGTACATGTGTGTAGAGATCTAGAGTCACCGTCTTAGCATGGCTTCCATCTTCTTGCGGGCTTCCAAGATCATCAAATCTCTTCTTTCACGGCCTCTGATAAATAAACTAGCCTTGTCGTTCTTTTTCGGCGAAGGACTCAATTGCACCGTGGAACCGTCGGGTCGGTAGCTCTCCAGTCTTAGGTGTAGGCTGTACCGAGTAATAAGATCGCTGTGGCCAAGCGTAGTCGCTACCGAAGACGGAAGCGGAGGAACCGGTGCTTGTGACAAGCCAGTCCCTCCGAGTGGACTAGAAGGAAGCGGCGATGGGGTTTGGCGGACTGCTGAAGCTGGCGGCTAAAGGAGCGAACGCGACCCGTCAGTTTTTTTGATAGTGAATTGGATGGGATACTTAGCTTACCTCTGGCAGGAACCCATCATTCAAGATCTTCTCTGTTGTTGCAGATACACTGCTGCCGTTCTTTTCCAGATCCCAACGTATGGCAGCCACGCTGATTTGCGGGAACATCACCCTCACCGATTCAATGTCATTTTGGGAAACGGCCGCCCTGGGCCGACGCCTGCTAGCCGACCCAGAAGCACCGGGAGTCTGGGACGGCGAAAGCACATATCTGTAGAACAAGACTGCGACGATGGCGCAGAGGATGAGTTGTGGGATGCCGATAGAGCCGGCCATGTCCTCCGACGATTAAATTATGATGGTGATAGTGATGCCGATGGTGATGGTGGTGATGGTGATGTTGAGAAGAATGTCAGTGGCTGCAGCTGCGCTGCAAGTGGCTGCAAGTGTCGGTGCCAAGCCCCGCCGGAAAGATTTGTCCAGAAATTTCGAGAGCTTCGAATCAAACCTGGCCCAACCCTGCACAATTGTTTCTCGAGAATTCTTCACCACCATCGCCATTGCCTTTGAGCCGGTATGTATCTCCCATCTTCGTTATCATCACTGTCTTCACACTGACCAATATTGCTTATCAATAGACACCAATTATAAACCTGCAAAGGAAAGACCCCCCACAGTGTTACTCCAGCGCCATGAACGCTGTACCCCATCGGTTACTATCTTATTCTTCATCTCGATCCGCAATCACCCACATATCCCCACGGCCCTGCACCGAACCTCTCCGTTCATTGGCACCCTCTCGTTCCTATTCATCTTGGGTGAAGAGAAATCGTCCGTGGATATGCATACAACCTATCGCCCGAAACCCCCAGTCAAAATGTACCCGCCTACAACCTCGTCCTTTCCCAAGCAGACCTTGCACAAGTCAACAGGTTGGTAGATCCATATACATATCCAATCGGCTAGAGGCAACTCTTAGCATCCCATTTACCAACTTTACCGTTCATATAGTTTCATACATCAATACCCCGCCAAGCTGCTCCGAAAGACCCTTACTCGGTGCTCGGCGTATCTAAATCCGCTTCAGCAAGTGAGATCAAGAAGGCTTACTATGCTATGGCCAAAAAGTACCACCCAGATGCAAACAAGGACCCTAAAGCAAAAGAGCAATTTGTTGATATCCAGCAATCTTATGATCTTCTCTCGGACCCACAGAAACGAGAACAATACGATCAGTTCGGGGCATCAGGCTTTGATCCTAGTGGTGCCGGTGGCTTCAACCCGGATGGTGCCAATCCATTTAGCGGTGGTGGTTTCGGCTTTGGAAGCGGTGGGTTTACCGTTGAGGATATCTTCAGCATGTTTGGTGGTGGCGGTCCTGGCGGCGGAAGAAGAAGAGGCAGCCACGTGGAGGAGGCCTTTGGCGACAACATAGAAGTCCAAACAACCATATCCTTCATGGAGGCCGCCAACGGAACAACCAAGACTATCAACATCTCTCCTTTAGTAACATGTCACACCTGTTCTGGGTCCGGGCTCAAGACTGGTGCTCAGCGCACGACATGTAGCAAATGTCAAGGTACTGGAACAAGGATACACTTTCATCAAGGAGGTTTCCAAATGGCATCAACATGTGGAACATGCGGTGGAAGTGGCATTGTCACACCTAAAGGCTCGGATTGTGGAACCTGTTCTGGAGCCGGCGTCCTCAGAGATAGAAAATCCGTACGAGTAGATATTCCACCGGGCGTTGACGATGGAATGCGTCTGAAAGTCGACTCTGAAGGAGATGCCCCCATCATCCAAGGTGGCTCTTCTCCCGGAGCTAAGCTCCACCGTGGAGATCTTCTTGTCCATATAAGGGTTCAGGCACATCCAAATTTCAGTAGGTCCGGGGCCGATGTTTTATACACAGCTACAATCCCCATGACTACCGCCGTGCTAGGAGGGAAAATCAAAATACCTACCCTAAAAGGAGACGTAGAGCTCAACATCCCAGCGGGAACCACCACCGGAGATCGCATTACAATCGCTGGCAAGGGAATGTCGAAGCTTACAAGCCGAAAGGGGGCCTATGGTGATTTGAAAGTTGAATTCAGAGTCTCTCTTCCCAAGTAAGCCGGATTCGCACCCCGCGTTACCATGTGAAATGAAACTAATATATAACCCCTCGCAGAGCGCTTACTGCTTCACAGCGAACGCTACTTGAGTTGCTCGCTGACGACCTAGGAGATCACCAGGCCAAACGTATTATGAATGTTTCTGATCTGTAGGTTTACAGTAGACATCGACTCTATGATTTGAACATCTTCTAACGCAACAGCCCAGGATGAACGAAGCCAACTCAAAAACTGAGCCCAGAGATTCTGGGGACGCGAAAGAGGGGTTCTTGAAACGAGCTTTCCATAGGTTCACCCACCCTCATGACAAGCAAAGCGAGAAATCGAGCACGACCAACAAGGAAAATGATGAAAAACTCGCTGAAAAAAGTACCAGCAGCACTGGGAACTGAGCACGTGATTCTGAGCTCCCAATACCAGGCGTTGTGCCAAATTTGGAGCGAGCTAGCATCTTAAATATTAGACACCGGGGTATCTACCCCCTCTTGCACCACCTGTATTATACAATAAATTTATAGAAAGCCTCGGCTGGGATTGTATATAATTTCTTCTTCTTGCTTTCATTCCCCTCCGTCAGAACAAAAGCTGGTTGCCAGCTTGATCTTTTATATATATTACAATGTAACTACGTAGATCAATCTATTATCTTGAATCTTATCGGGTTGCCCGAGAAAGGACAGAATGCTTTTTATGCTGAATAGAAACACTTCTAGTGACAGATCTAAAAACAATACAGGTGTAACAGGATCCCTTCCCTTCCCTTGAACGCCTGGCGGAACAATGAGATTAAATAAGCGACTATGTATGTACAGTACTAGTCCGGAAACCCAATGCAGAATCTTTTTTCTCGTTCGAGTCCGCAAATAGGATGCCGCGGTATACAGATCTAGGCAGGTTGGGCAGCAATGACGGGTTCCGAGATCCTGGTGACCTGAGCACCAGCACGGATTATCCTTGTACCTGTTGAATCATTAACGAACTAAGAGCAATGCAATAATTAGTATTTTGACATTTTGTACCGTCATCCTGCTGTGCTTATCCTAACTTACCGAAATGTCTTTGTTCTCTCGCTGTGCTTGCTTCCAGATTTCAACTTCACAACCACCACGAATGACACCAACCCTCATGGTTGATAGCAAGTTGTGAGCAGCATTGGAATGGTTATAAACACCGCCATTAAACATCGCCGTAGCATCCTTCCCAATACCAGAATTGATCATAGCCCTCCCACCTGGGTGATCCTTGATAAAATCACCGACGTCGTGGATAACACCAGCGACAGCAATAAGTGCCTTTCCATTGCGTGCTTGTTCTTGGAAGTCTTCGAATTCGATGACGGGGAGTTGCTCGAGAGGAATACCCCAGTCGAGCTTTGCACGAACTCTGTCAAGCTTCTTCTGCATTTGTTGGAGTCTCCCCTTTTCGATCTCGTTAGACTTGAATTCCTTGAGGTCATACGCCAAGCCAAGTTGTTTCCAGATCCAGATAGACCATTTGGTAGGATCGTACTGGAACCATTCAATGGCATTTCTGTAGTCGCTTGGGAATTCGTGGTGAAAGTTGTGGTAGCCTTCTCCGAGGGTAACAAGAGCGGTGATGACATGATCTCTTGGAGAGTTTCTATCGTCAAAGGGCTGATCACCAAGCCAATGGGCCAGCGAGTTGACACAAAAAGTAGCTTGCTGAACGAAGAAAATCCTGAGAATACCAGCGTAAATAAAACCGCCTTTCCAATCTCCCCAGCCTAACCCAGAGACCAACATGGGGAAGATCAGAGACATGAATGTGACGATAGGAATGTAATGCTTGTGTTGCCAGATGACGACGGGGTCTTCGCTAAGGTCGGTGATATCGGTGCGGCCGATACGCTTGGGGTTCTGTTTCATAACCATCCATCCGATGTGGGAGTAGAGGAGACCCTTCCGAACAGAATAAGGGTCCTTATCGGTATCGGTGTAGCGATGGTGGGCTCGATGGCCACGGGCCCACCATCTGATAGACCCTTCAACGGCACCAGCTCCAACGGCGGCGAGGTATAGTTTTAAAGGCAATGTGGCGGAATAAGAGGTATGGGCCCACAATCGATGGTAACCCGCTGTAATTCCGAGGCCGGTGTTGAAGTAGTAAACAACAGCCCAGATGGCAGTTTTACTCTGTAATGGGGTAAACCAAGCCCAATAGCATCCGATCAACGGGATAACCAAGATGAAGTAGACGTTGAGCCAGTCAACATGTTTCCACCAGTTTGTCCATGTAATTGGCTATTGCGAAGAAGAAGAATAGACATGTTAGTAAAGCTCATAGCTGAATGCACACACCAAAAAAAAAAAAAAAAAAAAAAGAAAGAAGGAGAAGAAGAAGGGTTTATGCTCCTGTTCGCGAGAGGGCAAGCAGTGAGGAGAGCAGGAAAACTTACCAACTCCGTGATATGTGGTTTGTCAGAAGTCGCCTTTCGGCTGGACCTGGAATGGGAGGATGAAGCCGAGGAAGCCCCCATAGCTGTACTATAATGGGAGACTGCAAAGGTGTTCTGGAAGTGGTGGTTGATAACTAGACGGGTTGAAGCAGGCAAGCGGAAGAAGAGAAGAAGGTGGAAGACCTTTGACGTTTTATAAGTAAAAAAAAAAAAACCTTTAGTTGACTTTACATGTATGGCTGGCGAGGCTAAGAACATAGCTTTGTGTTGTGCACGTTGACGGTTTGGTTTGGAGCAGCGAAGTGTTGAGGTTGTTGGGGAAAACGAGCTCGCTGTTGCCTCTTCTGGCCGGACTTTCCTCGCTCTGATTGGCTGGCTGGCCCCCAACCAAGTTCCCCAGCTATCGCCTATCGATAAAAAGTACTTAAAGCTGGCGACTGGCCACCCAGCACAATCCATGACCCTGCCATCCGAGTCGGGCGGGTTTGCCAGATGTATGGGGTAATCAACTTCTATCTATTGGAAACTAGCTTTTCGGAGATACCTAATTATGTACTAGCTACTTGGAGTATCATCAATTGATTGCATGCATGTGATATTGGCGTGATTAATTAACCATTGACGACGCATCTGCCACCGAAAATGTTGGGACTTTCCAGCCCAACCCCGGCCAGAAGGAACAGAATATATTGTATGTATGTACGTACATGTATGCATGTTCATATATGCATATTCACGCTTGTGCACATGCATCCTCCATAAGTAGCATTTTACTACCAGCTATTCGTGACCACCCTTAGCCTGACGAACCCTATAGATTATAATCCTATATTACTGTGTACCTAGGTATGTACAGGTATTGTTGTTGTAATCTCGCTGATGTTTCCAAAATACCACACCAACAACACATAAATCACACCACCCACAACCAATTCTTGCATAATCAAAGGTATAGATGGTGATAAGGGATTACGACGCTGACCTGATCTGATCTGGACTTAAGTAGGTGGGTCCTACGTAGATCGGTACTTGGACTAGTAATATAAGTGTATACTCGATATATAAAAAATATTTAATAAACTCGTACATTCGAAGAACATCAAACATACGGCGCTATGCATATGCAAATGGATCAATTCCAACTACTCCCATTAAGTATTCTGGGCACGTACCGCATCTACCTACTTGGGTACTACCGACGGCTAAAAATTATTCATCTGCCTTCTTCACCTCTCCGGATCCTCGTTCGGAACCCGATACTCTCTGTGGCGCCACAGAGGGTGTTTCCTTAACATCCTCCAAGTCCTCCTCTTCTTCTGGTAGAATTAAGTTCAAGATAAGCGTCACAAATGCGCATAGAGCAAACCCTGTCGAACAAACCAAAGCTGATACAATCAGTCTTGTTAGTATTCACAGCCGTAATTTTTCTCTAGGTTGGCTATATACGTACTGATTGCGTCAAAAAAGCCCCTCTTTCCCGCATTGTCGCCCTATCATTTCTTGTAAGTCTCACTTCTCGGGCAAAAAAAAAACTCCCCCAATGTTGAGCTTACCGAATATGTGAAAACTAGATACAAACTCTCATTAACAACCTCCTTTTTGTAATTACTTGCTTATTTAAGCAGAGTTGGATTCTCTTACCGTGGTCAAACCAGTCATGAACCATCTCCGCTCCGAACCCGAGTGCCAGCCCGCACGTGACAATGAATCGGTTTCTCCGGGTAAATGGCATCGTGGATGTAATCCTCATTCCGGAAACCGCAACAGCTGAAAACAAGAATGTCGTCATCCCTCCCAATACAGCTCCCTACAATTTGCCACATGTCATTGGAATACAGTTCAAGGTCCCATTTGCGGGCAGAGTGTTTATGCTTACTGGAATAGCAACCAACGCAGCAGCGAACTTCGAGAATATTCCGGCTACAATCAACCAAAAACAACAAAAATATCCAGCCTTTCTATTCGCACATCTTGTCAAAGCAATAACCCCGTTGTTCTGCGCGAAAGTCGACATGGGCGTAATCGTAGAAAGACAAGCCAGTAGACCGTTGAATCCGTCGGCCAGGACTCCACCTTGGATTCGTGTCTCATACAGCTTTCCCTCCACATCGAGTCGCGAGACATCACATGTCGCAGTAATATCCCCAATAGCCTCCATCATCTATATCGCAGTTGCAATCAGTATATCATCGCTGAGTGAATGTATCAAGCCTCCATATAAACCCCGAGGTACTTACCAAGACAAGATATACGGCCAATAATGGCAGCACTATTGGTCCATAAACGGATAAAGGAAACGTGTGGACCCAGATAAAACTCACTGCCGGTGCAGCTTTGATCCCTGTATCGTCGAAATAACCGCAAGCCGCTATTCAAAATCACATTAACAATTTAGCTTCCTTGTACATTATCTAAATTGGTACGATTTTTATAATACCTGCAACAATACAGCCAACAAAGAGACCAATGATAACGGCACAGCTCTTCATTATAGGTGATCCAAATCGTTCGCACAAGATTATTGTCACGAACACGAGAAATCCCAGCCCGATAAACTCCGCTGACCCCCACGGTAGAGGATGCGGGGCGTTTATATTAGGACAAAGCGCAAAGAACGGGGTCGGAGGGGGGCTCGAAGAACAGGGGCCGTTTCCACCTGCCCAATTTTTGAATCCCGATCCAATTAGACTGGTACCGATGAGCATGACAGTCGGGCCCGTAACTATTGGAGGGAATATTCTTTGAAGTATCTTCGGTGGCATAAAACTGAGCAGAATTTCCAACAAAGCACAGATCATAGCAGTTCCGAGAATGGCACCGTAACCTATTCGTATTAGTTAAAGTATTACACTTTAGCAAAAAATGGGTGCAGAGGTACCTTTAGGGCAAGGCAGAAAAGTCCCGTCATCCGCTATCTCACACATACCATTATCATACATTTGTGAGAGCGCTCCCTTCATGAATATCGGTTTAGCGTTCGGGTTATTACGCGAAGTATCAAACCCAATTCCTCAACACGGTCGAGGAGCCTGGTGACGAGACAAAGAATCCAATGGGGTATACTAACTTGCGCAACCGGTATGACAGCGAACGAGGTTCCGACGACCGAGATTAGGCCGGTCCCGAGATAGTATGGAGTTTTAAAAATATGAAATCGCGTAATTTGGATAGAAGACAAGATTCCACAAACTATCAAGGAAGTCGATACAAGGTAACGCTGCACATCCGGACTTAAATTTGCAGCGGTCTTTCCAGAACCACCGATGATGATCGGGGGGCTATATTAACATATCACAGGAAGCAATAGATCAGCTTCACGCCAAACGAGAGCTTAAACAATTGCGAGCTCGTCCAGAGCTAAGCGCATATACGCAAGGAAACGGCATTTAAGACTTATGAGACTAACCTTATAACTCCGGCTAACATTGCAAGAGCGTGCTGGAAGCCCAAAAGTGCAGCGAGTAGAATGGGCATATGGTCGTAAAGCCCGAAGAACGGGGCTGCCTTCCTACAATTTTAGGTCACGAAGAATTAGATCTAGGACAGACCAGGCCTCGAGGTATGCACATGAGAAGATACCTGACCCTCCGCATGAATGGAATATTAGGACGAAAGAGAAAAGCATAGTCGTAGTCACCAATCAGTCCATCTCTGTGTGAAAATCGGTCAGTGAAGGACCTTCAAAATACCACAGGCCCTTTGCGTTGCAGACTTAGTCAGAAAATTGCGCTTGAGGCGAGCCAAGAGTGACGGTTTTGGGGGATTAGAACCAGGGACGATTGTATCTGGGCCTTCGTTTGCATGTTCCTCGGCCGACATTGCTTCGTTTTTCTTCTTCCTTGTTCTTTTGTCTGTTGCGCAGAATCTTCAGCGGCCTCGTTGCAAATATGTATGTTAATTATACTGAATTCCGGACTGTGATTGAGGACGCTCGGGAATTTGACAATGTCATGCCGTCGTATTTATATATCCACTTCACACTGTGCCAACCTGACTCGCAAATTATAGGAAAGATAAACTGAACCAAGTGGCGCCTTCTCAACCGGTCTAGATAGCCTTTGGGTGAAGATATTGGCTCCGGTGAGATAAGAGCCTGCCCTCAGATTGAGATAAGGTCTGCATGCTTGATTTTCTTCTTTCCTCCTTGCTCTTTCTCCACCAAGGGTAAGCCGGCGATGGGTGGTGCCCCCAAAAGTCAAGGGCAAAATGGTCAATCCGACCTGGTAAAAAAAGCTGCGGGTTCCGCTTGGAGTTTAGTTAAGGCGATATCCGATCCCTGCAATAGTTCTTGGCGAGTATGCGGTGTGGGGGAATTACTGTCAAAAGTTCTGGCGGCAACATCCGTGGTCAAAAAAACACACCATGTCGCTTTAGTATTCCTAGGAATAATGAGAAGTACTTAGGTAGTTAAGTACATATGTACATAGTTTCAAGCGAAACCCGAGATACGGCGATGGAGGGTCGCCGTGATCGATCGATACATAATGTACGCCCTCGCAGGAGAGCGGACCCTCGACCTAGCCTTCCTCGGGATCGCACGAGGATGACCTTCCTGTCGCGTGGCTCTTTATCGAAGGAGTATTTATGGGTATCTGCAATGTGAAATTAGCTTAGGCACCTTCCATTACTCGCAAACACGCACAAATGCTAGTTGTACGTACCCTAGTACCTGGTCCCAATTAATTAGTCAGTAAACAATCCATATGGACTTCTGAATATATATCAGGAGCCTCGATTTCAGCTGTTGGTTCCACAGTAGGCTCAGTCCCGTCGTTTTGTCTGGTTTACGAGACCAGTTTCTCCTCCGAATGTTGTTGTTTTTTAAGTTTAAGTTTAAGTTTTGTGTTGTGTTGTGTTGCGAAGAAACCGAACAGAACGAAACAAACGCAACGCAACTCAATTCAACGCGATTCACCACGCTCCAAAAACCTCATCCCCAGATTTCTTAAGATCTTCTCCTCTCCTCCTTTCCCTACCTAACGTACTTATAAAACACATACCTACGCCCATTCTGATGGCGACTTCGACACAATCGCAACAAGATAGTATAGGCGTAGGTTTGGTTCTGTTCGACCATCTCATTTCAGTCCGTTTAAGCTAACTCATCTTCTCATAGATCGCATGGGACCAAATGCCGATTTCCCTCCTCCAACAGTACCGGTCCGCCAATCTTCTTCGAACCCCGTCCGCAAGCACCCCCTACTCCGCAGCCGTCCTGTCAGCTGGAATTGGTAAAAAGTCTGCCTCACACCGTGATAGACAACCACAAGACTCTCTCCTTTCTGCCGTCCGTCGTCATTTCAACAATCAGGCCATCAACGAGCATGATGTAATTGTTAATTTCCTTTACACCGTCAAGAACAGCGGTATGTCTCCTTCCTCGTATCGATTTAAACGATGCTGCTGAACGCATCTATAGATAGAGCTTTCAGACACCGGTTTCCGCCAGCGCGATAGAGGTATACGGGTGCATTTGGTCCGGGTCGGGTTGAGAGTGATTATTGTAAATGTGGACTCATACATACTGACCTAAGTACCTACTTAGGCGCTTAGGTTATCGCATTCTAAAATCATTGCTCCCTCTACGAGGTTTGAGGGATAGGTTTAGTCCGAATGTATCGTGTCGGCTAGTCGCATACGTGAATAAATGGGTAATACCCAGCCATCCATCGTAATTATCCATTTCTTCCATTCGTTTAGTAACTTTTGTGTATAATATAATTAGCGGCGACCGATAAGCAAGTCCGTATTACATACCTACTACTTACTTACTTACCTAGGTACTTACATGCCTCTTAAGTAGGCGCTGAGTACATGTCTGGTGCCTGACATGTAACTGAGCAACACCCAAAAAAGAAAAAAAGTTTTTTGGAGGGAAAAAGAAAAACCGGAGAAGGAAGCAAACGTGCTAGCCCACTGAAATCCCAATTGAAAATCATAAAAATTCATCGATGAATGTATCATGAAACCGATACATTTCCTATGACCTCAGCATCGATGAGAGGCCTCGGTAACACTGCGACTGCTTTGTGCGACTTAGCCGCTCTACCTTCCCGCAGATACGCTCAGCATACGGGGGGTATCAATGCACTCCGAAGCCTGATAACATATTCATCTTCCCAATCATTCCATACATCGCACCAATGCGCAATTCCTCGGAATCGTTCTCGTGGAGCCTCAGCCCTACGGCGTCAACCATACCCGGGGAGGGTCTCTCTTCAGTATCTCGGAGACGATCTACCTCAGCCAGTTACTGATCCATCCAAACATACGGATGTTGTCACTAGCCCAGAGCATGGACTTTGGGGGTTTTTCAACAAAGAAAGGGTATCTATCCCAACCCCGGAAGAAGATTACAGACACGGTATTACTCAAGATCCATAGCCTTCTCATACATATCCCCCACAAGCATGCTAATATGGAAACTTCCTGGTGTAGGTCGAGCCTGGACTGTCGAAGAGTTAAGACATAAAAGCTGGGATGATCTACACAAACTCTGGTGGGCTTGTGTGAAGGAACGTAATATATTAGCAACCCAGCAGCTCGAACGCGAAAGAATGAAGCCAGGCTACGGAGAATCCGAGGCATACACCCGTAATCGTCTTGTGGGCACTGCCTCCCGTCGTTTTGTGTATCGACATTGCAGAACTAACCGTGGTTAACAGGTTCGCGACACCCAGAGGGCAATCAAGCACGCTCTTACCGAAAGATACTATGCCTGGCAGGAAGCGCTCAAGGTAGCCGAATCAGATTCTGATATTGACCTCAGTGGAAAGGGTCCCGCTTTCAACCCCCAGAACCTCGATGTACGTATATAATACAAGAGTGCCATCATTTTCGGACGTGGGAATTATCGTACCTGATACCTAAGTATATACTGACCCCTAACGAACAATCCCAACAGGTCGAATCTTCTCCCAATATGCAAACCTCTAGCGCAGAGGTGATACCAGAGGCTAGATCAGATGCAAAAGACACTAAACGCCTGGAGCTATAGTCATCTCCAACCCCAGCTCGAGACCTAAAATAACATTTGCTTGTATATATTGACAAAAACCCTCTTCATCATCTTTCTTTCTTTTCTTTTCCTTTCCTTTTCCTTTTAGCTTCAGGCTTCACGATTGTACGTATATACAGCAGAATTGCCAAAGCAGTACATCTATAAGTACTACTTAGTCGTTTTCTTCATGCCTACTTAAGTATTTACTTGCTTACTCCTTACCGCTAGACTAAATACTTACTTGTCTCGTCGCCAGACTTCTCATCGACAAGGACTTGCATGCTCAAGCTTGGTATCTGCCAGTAGCAGAAGTTTTCCGCAATGTGCATCAAAGGTTAAACTGGTTAGGTGTTTAACGCTTACAGAGCCCTTAGATAAAGGGCTTAGTAGATACCTACCTATGTCCCTACTTAGGTATCTAACCAGGGACTTAAGTAAGTACTTACTTAAGTATTTACTTAAATATTTACTTCTTAGCTTAATTTCTCTAAGTCGCCAGCATGCACATGAGGCCCCAGTGCGTTGGCTAACCCCTCATTTGAGAATGATGTTTGTCTTGACCTACCCGGATTCGTTCAACACCACCTTTCATACCACGAAGCTTGTCTCCCCTCTCCACTTTACCTCAAAGCTTGCTTCATCAATCGTATCTTCTTTGTTGCTAAACTACCTGCCCAGTATCCGGACCCGACAATACTGTAAGTTTCCTCTTGCTCTTATTCCTTAGGGCCTTTTTCTTCTACGTCTAGGGAACCTTCCTCAGCTAGAGCCCCCTAAATTCATGTCTTACATCAATAATCGCGTACTTCAACTGACGAACACGTAGGATTAACCCCAATTACCTTCAATTAAGCGGAAATCTCATATTCATTATGGATGACGGTCAAGATCCAATCAAGGATTTGGAGAAGGGGTTCGATGTGGTCGTGATGGGCACCGGTAAGGACTGTTTTGTGTTGGATATCGACGATGGCGGTGCTAACTACCGTGGCTCCCAGGTCTCACTGAAACCATTCTGTCTGGGTAAGAGTGTCTGGTGATATTGAATTTGGAACCCCAGGAGATAGTTCGATTTTCTAACTCGTATTGAACCGCAGGGTTATGAGTGTGCAAGGGAAACGCGTCCTCCATATCGATTCGAATTCCTACTATGGCGGGTACGTCGTCCCAATACTGCTACTATTCTCCTAATACATGAACACTAATTTCCCTTGATTAACGAATTACAGCGAAGGGGCAAGCCTGAAGATGAGCCAGGTAGGCATACGGAATAAATCTTCTAATATAGGACCCTATCATGACGTTTTCTGTCCGCCATAGATTTACGAGAAATTTCGAGGAGACGGTTCGAAGCCCCCTGCTGGGCTGGACAAAGACAGAGACTGGAACATCGATTTGATTCCGAAATTCCTCATGGCAGGCGGCGAGCTTGCCCGTATTCTCAGACAGCTGAAGCAGGTATGTTATTTCGACCTCCCTACTTCTAAGATTCTATCTAAGGGAAGGGTTTAAAAGGTCCAAGACAATGTTCAATTCCAGCAAATCGCCGGAAGTTACGTATTTCGAGGTTCGGGTGGCGGTTTCTTCGGGCTCGGAGGATCTGGGGTCCATAAAGTCCCCTCGACGGCCTTGGAGGCGGCGAAATCGAATCTTATAGGGATAATGGAGAAAGGACGTCTTAAATCCTTTCTCGAGTCTGTTGCGGCGTATGATGACGCAAAAGGCCCCCAACATCAAGGTAGTCTAAACTAGACCCCCTTTTTTTAAACAAAAAAAAAAAAAACTAAACAGGTTAACAGGTATGAACCTTGAGAAGGATTCTATGAAATCCGTCTACGACAAGTTCAGTCTGGAGGAACCTACTCGAGATTTTGTTGGTCATGCGATGGCCCTCTACTCTGATGACAGCTACCTAGAGCTCCCTGCACGCCAAACATTCAACAAGATCAAACTCTACGCTGGATCTGTTGCTATGTATGGGAAATCCCCATATATATACCCGCTTTATGGGCTGGGGGAACTCCCGAGCGCCTTCACTCGTCTTTCAGCGGTTCACGGAGGGACATACATGCTTAACACCGAAGTTCTAGACTTTGAGCATGCTGATGACGGTAAAGTCTCTGGAGTCAAAATCAAATTCGAGAACCCAAGAAAAGACGGTGAGTATGTCGACCTTGTCGTTAAAACGGGACGAGTCTTAGCATCCCCAAACTATGTCGCAGAAGGAAAGAAGAAGAAAAGGACGGGGCAACAGGTTGTTCGTGCGATCTGCGTATTGAACCATCCAGTCAAGGGAACCGATAACAGTGACAGCGGTCAAATAATCATTCCTCAGAGCGAAGCCAATCGAAAGAATGGTAAGATAATAACACTCCCCACTTTTGATGCAACACTCTGTTCTGACGGCTGTGGGTGGGTGGGTAAGATATCTATATTGCCGTTATCTCATCTGCTCATAACGTTTGCCCGAAGGGGTATTGGATTGCCATTGTCTCTACAATCGTAGAAACGCAGAACCCTCAACACGAACTCAAGGCTGGATTTGAGCTTTTGGAGCCTATCGAAGAAACGTAAGTACCGACTAATTCGGCGCGACTTAATGTTCCAAATGCTAAACGGCCTGCAGGTTTTTGGCGAAGCCTTTCGATTTGTGGGAGCAGTTGGATGATGCAAGTGATAACGTCTTCGTTTCCAAGAGCTTAGATGCAAGCAGCCATCTTGAGACTTGTACTGGTAAGAACATCTCATTTGTCTTGCTATACAGGCCTTTTGCTGACAACGATAAACGAACAGATGATGTGAAACATCTATACAAAATAATGGAGGGTAAGGACTTGGATATCGATGGTCTCAACCCTGACCGGGCAGAGTAGGCAAATACGGAATAGAACTTATTTGCTAGTAGCAATAGCTAGGTTGTATCTCGATGTCTTCTGGGGTTAGTTAGAATGAATGCGTAGGTACTATCAGAAGGGTTCAATTATAGAATCACAAACTTTTGTGAAGTGAATAGGGACTGAAATGCATACCAACTTGGAAATTAACCACAACGTCCTCTCGAATAGCCCAAGTTCAATTAGTACTTCCGGCTTATGTATACGCTTACGGGGTATCTTCAAATAAATAAAGAAAGAAAAAGCGAGACAGTATAAATCTTGAAACCGCAGGTACTACGACAGTGGCTCAGCTATTTTTGTAAGGTATATACCAACCTCGTAATAATGGCTGAAGCGTTTAGTATAAATCTACCTTATAATGATCTACATGTACATGCGTGTGTAATATCTTGAGTAGTACTAAGAAGTACCAGGTATGTACCTATGCCGATGTCACGTGTTTAAGCACACACGCGGGGTGTTGCTTCAAGCAAACAAGCATGCACAGCAACAACAAGAGGCAAGCTTCTAGCTAAATTCGCAGCGCATTCTACAGCGGCCCTCTACGATTAACCGATAACACAACAACCTTCTACAAAACGCGGGATAGAATCTTTCGCCATGAGAGTAATCGAAATAATCATAGACGTAAGTTCTCTAACCACCCTCAAGAACCCCACATTCCCAAATCTAATACGATATACTCTGTTTTAGGGCTTCAAGTCGTACGCTGTCCGTACTGTTATATCTGGCTGGTACATCCATCATTCTAAACGCGCTCGAGAAAGTGACTACTCGACTAAAGCTTCTGCTACTTTGCAGGGACGAGAGCTTCAATTCAATTACCGGTCTCAACGGTAGTGGCAAATCGAATATTCTGGATTCAATATGCTTTGTTCTCGGGATTACCAACATGAGTACCGTCAGAGCGCAGAATTTACAGGTGCGCCCTAGATTTCTACGAATAGAATCAACCTCAGGAGACCAAAATTAATATTCCTTATCAGGATTTAATCTACAAGCGGGGTCAGGCAGGTGTCACCAAGGCGAGCGTCACCATCGTTTTCGATAACAGTGACAAAAAACGAAGTCCCATTGGGTTTGAGGAACACAACCAAATAAGCGTTACGAGACAGGTACATCCCTAGAAACAACTTCTTTGATGCCAGGTGCTGATATCTCTCCTGGGACAGATCGTGCTTGGGGGTACAAGCAAGTACCTTATAAATGGGCATCGCGCCCAGCAGCAAACCGTTCAGAATTTGTTTCAATCGGTTCAGTTGAACATCAACAACCCGAACTTCCTCATTATGCAAGGAAGAATTACTAAAGTGCTGAATATGAAACCCGAGGAAGTCCTTGCACTCATCGAAGAAGCTGCGGGCACGAGAATGTTTGAAGATAGACGGGACAAAGCCCTTAAAACAATGGCGAAAAAGGACAATAAGGTCCAGGAAATAAACACGTTGTTGCAAGAAGAAATAGAGCCGAAGCTTGAGAAGCTCAGATCGGAGAAACGAGCATTTCTAGACTTTCAGCAAACCCAGTCTGATCTAGAGAGGCTTTCGAGAGTTGTCATTGCGCATGACTATCTCAAAGGCAAGGTATGGGTCGAGGATTGATATTCCACGAACCTAGCTTATATATGTTCTTCTAGGAGCGCATTTCCCGCGCTACGTCCGATTTCCAGAAGAAGGAAGATAGGATCGATTTTATTGAGAGTGGGGCCAAGCGGATGAAACTAGAGATCAACAAACTCGAAGAAGATATCCAAAGAGTAAGGTCTCAGCGAGATATGGAACTACGGAAAGGAGGAAGGTTCCAAGAACTAGAGGAAAGGGTAAAAGAGTCCTCACACGAAACAGTCCGCTTGCAAACCCTCTTCGACTTAAAAAATGTCCAACTCTCAGAAGAGGAATCGAAGGTCGATCAGGGCCGAGTCGCGCTGAATAGTGCCCAGAATCTTCTCGAAAATAAAACAAAGGCTTTCGATGATCTCAGAGGCGGTCATGAGGCAGCAAAACAGCACATTGAACAACTCACCATGAATATGGACAAACAGGATGATCTCTTACAGTCGTTGCAAACTGGCGTTGCTGCAAGGGAAGGTCAGCAGTCGGGGTACCAAAGTCAACTCCAAGGTAGGATATGGATTATGTATATTTCAGTTTTAAACTGAGGTTTCCCATGTACACATACTAACTTATCTCCAATACGGCATTTAAAGACGCTAAAAACAGCCTCAGTGCTGCAACTACTGCCCAGGAACAAGCTAGGCTTCGAATTGCAGATCTTGAGAATCGCATTCGAGAAGATGAGCCTAGAGCAAAGAAGGCAATAGAACAGAACGCCGGTCTATATCGAAATTTGGAAACTCTTAAACGTGAGGCCGATCACATTCAGAAAAACTTGCAAAGCCTTGGGTACGAAGAAGGCACTGAAGAACGAATGAAACAAGCCCAGCTGTCTACCCAATCAAATATCCGACAAATCCAAGAGCAGATAGATAAGCTCCGTCGGAAGGTTGCTAGCATAGAATTCACATATTCTGACCCAGTGGCAAACTTTGATCGGTCAAAGGTTAAGGGTCTTGTAGCTCAATTGTTTTCTCTCTCACAGGATAAGTATGAAGCGGGAACGGCTTTGGAGATATGTGCTGGTGGAAGGCTTTATAACGTCGTTGTTGATTCGGAAGTTACGGGTGCTCAGCTGCTTGAGAACGGCCGACTTAGAAAGCGGGTGACGATCATACCTTTGAATAAGATTAATGCATATCAAGCTGCACAAGAGGTAGGGATCCTCAGGCTAAGTCCTTTCCATGCACTTACCCAACTCTATAACGCTCACTGTCCTCAAATAGAGAGTAGAATCGGCCCACAAACTCGCACCCGGGAAAGTGCACCTCGCGTTATCTTTGATTGGGTATAGTGAAGAAGTTGCGAAGGCAATGGAATATGTATTCGGCTCTGCACTAGTCTGCGCGAACGCTGAGACGGCACAGCGGGTTACGTTCGATCCCTCTGTTCGCCTCCTCAGCGTCACATTGGATGGAGACGTATACGACCCCTCCGGAACATTGTCCGGTGGAAGTGCACCGACATCTAGTGGGGTTTTGATTACTCTCCAGGAACTCAATGTAATGACACAGCGACTAGAATCGGAAAAAATTCAACTTCAAACCATCCAGGCAAAGATTGAGGGCGAACGGAAACGTCTAGATGAAGCAAAGGACTTTGGACAGAAGTTGGACCTTAAGCTTCATGAGATCAAAATCACGGAGGAACAAATCAACAATAACTCTTCGTCTAATGTATGTTACTATTGCGCGCAAAATGACGATGGCTAACGGCTGTTTAGATAATTCAAGCGGTTAAAGAACGGAGAGGGACCATAGAAACCCTAAAAATTGATATTGAAAACTATAAAAAGGCCGAAATCGATGCCATCGGTGATATAAAGCGTATAGGACAAGATATGCAAGATTTCACAAAAAACAAAGACGGGAAGCTTGCCGAACTTCAGGTATAGAGAATCTCAATTCTACTTGGCCCGATTCTTCAAGGCGAATGTTAATGATCGAAGAAATCCGTCGCGGCGGCAAAATCAGAACTTGGGAGAAAAGTGGAGCAGATGAAAGCTCTCCAGAAAGAATATCAAGGTGCTCGTCTAGAAATGGGTACTTCATTCCTTCCTTTCAACCCCTGTGCTAGCTAACTAGGAGTGTCTTACTAGAGCAGGCTGGTGGCGATCTATCGGCCGCAAAAGAGCAACTCGAGGAAGCCAGCCTAAGTCTTACATCCCAACAACTTGAAATACAAAATCTGGTAGAAGAACAAGCCAGTGTCAAAGTAGGAAAAGACGTGAAATAATGGGCATTCCATCTGAGTCGTAGCTAACATCGCCTTAAAATATAGGCAAGCCACAGATCGTTGCTCTTAGAGTTAGAGCGAGAGAGGGATAAACTTAGTGGTTTTGATGACGAGCTGCAATCTCTTCAACAGGCGGTGAAGGCCAAAAATACCAGAATTGTGGAGGAAGGTCTTGAACTCCAACAACTCAGGCACGAAACTGAGAAAGTTAGGAAGGAGCAAGAATCTCTGAAACAAGCACTCCAGGCCTTAGAAGACGAATACGAATGGATCCAAGACGAAGAAGAGAACTTCGGGCGTGCAGGAAGCCCCTACGACTTTAAGAACCAAAATATACCGGAATGTAGGGCTTCTTTGAAAATTATCAACGAGAGGTTCTTGGGGATGAAAAAGAAGATCAACCCAAAGGTTATGAACATGATTGACAGTGTGGAGAAGAAAGAGGTCGCGTTGAAAAGGATGCTCCATACCGTTATTCGTGACAAGGAAAAGATCACGAAGACTATAGAGAGCTTAGACGAGTATAAGCGAGATGCTCTGAAAAAAACATGGGAAAAAGTAACAGTTGACTTTGGCCATATATTCTCAGAGTTGTTACCTGGGAGTTTTGCAAAGCTTGAACCTCCAGAAGGCAAGGATATTACTGAAGGGCTTGAAGTAAAAGTTTCCCTTGGAAAAGTCTGGAAGCAGAGTTTGACGGAGCTGAGTGGTGGCCAAAGGTATGAAAATTGATGTCGTACCCCCATCTTCGAATTTCTTCTTACTTATGGTCTAGGTCGCTGATTGCATTGTCGCTGATTTTGGCATTGCTTCAATTTAAACCCGCTCCCATGTATATTCTGGACGAAGTTGATGCCGCTCTGGATCTTTCGCACACCCAGAATATTGGCAGACTTATAAAAACTCGCTTCAAGGGAGCCCAATTCATTGTCGTTAGTTTAAAGGACGGAATGTTCCAAAACGCAAACTGTATCTTCCGTGAGTGCCATTCCACTCCCTAAGGTAGAATTCCTGTGGCTAACAATAAACTTGCAGGTACACGATTTCAAGATGGTACGAGCATTGTAATACAAGAAAAAGGGGGGGAACACAATCGCAAGCGGTAGGGGAGGTAATTTGAGATGGCCATGCTAGTCTTTGTCCTATGTTGTCTTATCAAGAAGCTTTGAGTTTACAGGCCCCTTGATAGTTTATTCTACAGTATTATCATAGGATACTCAAATATCCATCTAAAACCTCGCTTTTTCCCCACTAGATGCGGGGGGCTCGCTCGCCCAGCGAAAACATATCGTTCCCATGTAATTTGGAAAATGAAACTCTTGATATACCTAGTCTCGTATTGCAGACGCGGTCCACACAAAGTGTGGAGCACCGTAATTGGTATACTGGGCCGTTATTTACCTCTCAGGGGGTTCATCGCCACCAATATCAAGCTTGAGTTCAATCTGATGCCCATTGGAGCTTGAAGTATCACCCTGGAAGCCGAGGGGCACTGCATCAGTACCAGATGATTCAAGCTCTTCGCTTCGGCTTGATATAGGTAGCCCTCCACCCTCTCTAGAGAGAACAAACAAAGGGAAGTCCTCTGATGGCATAGGTCCACCGAAATCGGTGACCTCTTTAGGTTGGCTACCATCTATTTTCTCGGATACATCGTCTAGGGATACACTATTGTTGAGAATGACCGGGATTTCGCGACCATTGGAATCATTAGTATCCTGATCCAAATCATCCTCAAGGTCTGAATCATGCTCGGAGCCTTTATTCTCTAGGCTGGCCCTTATGAAATCAGCACCATCATCTCTAGCAGTGCCGTCAAAGGCCGCGCTAGGAATTGTGAGGTTGTCTTCCGGGATTAGATTATACTTGTCCGAAACAGTTCGAAAAAACTAGAGATATATTCAAATTAGAGATCTGTAGTTAAAACAGAAATAGGATAATGGACACAAGAGGACTTGGGACTGGTAAATACCACATAAAGGCCATGTTCATTCTCAACATCCCAGAAAACACCTCGATGCAAAAACCAAGCATGCGCAAATATCCTGTAAAGCCGGCGAAAGATACTCGAGAGTTGTTTTGTTCCATTTGCATTGATATTAAGTCTGCTGGGGAAGTGTTTTGTAGAGCAAAGGGTACTTGCAGCATGATCCAAGGTATGCACGGAATAATCCATTGCGCAACAAGAGCGGGGGGGATCATGGACTGCACAAAGATATTGCCATAACGAGGCACGCATCTCTGGGCAGGTTTCCTCGGTGCAATTGTCGCTCAGAAGGCCAACAACGAGATGGTTGAGATCACGCGTGAGGCGCCTCGTCAACTCGTAGCACCACATCCATTCATCGATGCCATCAGGGCAACTTGCGATACGGTCGCAATCTTTCCGCGAGAGGGGTAATATATGATCGGAGCCCGCAGGATTCGTTGTCGAGGACAGAAGGGCAGCTAGATGTTCCTGAAGCTGAAATGCAGAGTCGAGTTCCGCAAGAGGGACTAGTGGTGGACCATTGATATCCTTTAATTTTGTGCCTTTACGAATTCTTCGGTTTCCACTATTCGGGGCGAGTTGCGGGGTGTTTTGAGGAACAGGGAAACCGGGGTTTGACATGAATGATGGTGATGTGGGATTCGACAAGTCTTCGACAGGCGGTGGAGGGGAGGGGAGGCGGGGCGATGTCGGGACGGTGGACGACGATGATGGCGGTAATTGGGCCGTCGTTACAGATATCGGTGCCTGGTCGGAAGGGATAGCCATCTCGAAGATGGTGTAGATGTAGACGAAGGTGACGATTGGTAGTTTTGATCTTTGATCTTTAAGTGCTCAAGGTACTTAAGAGGTATGAAGTATGTAACTATGTCAGTACGAGGTACATAGAAGGTAGTTAGGTAACACGGACCTACCTGAGTATATAGGTCAGACCTTAAGTAAGGCTACGTGCCCCCCCACCCACCACCACCACCACCATCACCACTATTACTTCCTCCTCCTCCTCTCAACATTGAAGTAAGTAATCAGGTACTACTCTATAGCGTCTTCTTTTTCTTCTTCTTCTTCTTCTTCTTCTTCTTAGACCACTGATCATTTCGACCCCATCAGCAATGTCACACCGACCTACTCGATCTAGTCACGCTCGCGATTTCTCGATTTCCACCAAAGCTTCCAATCGCCCTTCGGCCTCCCTCACAGACGCCCCTGTTTCTCCTCGGTCGCACCGGCCAGGTGGAACTACGCCTCTCCACGCGGGCCCTCCTCCATCCTCCTCTCGTCCCGGCAATCCTGTGTCAAAGCCGGATCGGAGAGTAACCACTACCACTACAACCACAATAGCTACGAACACAGCGCTTCTCGTCACCAAGTCTGCACAACGTAAACCGAACGAAACAAGAGAAGTTCCCAGCGCTCCGAACAGAGACAAGCCCAGATCGGGCCCTTTTTCCAGCAACAATGGGATAGGTTGTCTTGTCATTTCCAAAATTCATGGGTCATTTCACTCATAATCCGCTACAGTTTCCTGGTCCCCCGAAGTTTCATTGAGGCAGCAGACTACAGCTCCTCTTGCCTCCAGAACGACTTATCCTCCGCTATCAAATACTATCACTCCTGTCAAGGGCCCGACCTTGCTAGAGCAGATGAGCCCAGAGGCTCAGGAAGCTGCAGTCATTGAGGACCTGCTTTTTTGTTTTATGGTACGAATGCAAATGTTGTTGTCTTCGTTACAATTCTTGTGGCCCCGGCACCTGTTGAGTACAAATCAACCTAACATTCCCATCTTTTGACATGACATAGGGGTTCGAAGGCCAGTTCCTCCGATTCAAGGAAGAGTATAACCCCGTTGTCGAAGCTGAGCGTTTAGCGGGTCCCCAATTTAGAATCCCTATAGGCCTTGAGCCGAGTATAAAAGACATTCTAGGATCACTCCTCAAAGTCGCAAGACATTACGCTGCACTTGATGCATTTGTCGAGGTGCAATCACGAGACGAATTTGGTGCTATCAATCATGCTCTCTGCTCTGCGATTAGGAAGTTGTTGAAGGATTATCTTGTACTCATCGCGCAATTAGAACACCAATTTTTATCTAACCCTAGCTTCACCCTACACACCCTTCACCTAAGTACAATCCCGGTTTCCCACACTCTCTCGCAATTATACTCGCTAGCCCAGGAAATCTTGCGACGAAACTCCTTGCTTGAAGATGATGACCTGGATTCTGCCGGAGATGACGTTGAATTGTTATTAGAATCACTCAGAGATGGTGCAAATATTGCCGGCGGCGGGCCTGTTATGGGAAGGAAAGTATGCAAGGGTGGCGCAGTCCTCGATCTTATCACAAACCGCCTGAATTCCATGGCTGGAGACCCTTCTACTCGAAGCTTACTTGAATACCTCCTTCGACAATCATCAATGCCTTATATGGTAATGCTTAACGAGTGGCTTCACCATGGTGTCATTAAAGATGCCCATTCTGAGTTCTTGATCAAAGAAACAAAATCAATCCGTAGGGAACGGCTGGAAGAAGATTACACGGATGAATACTGGGATAAAAGATACACTATCCGGCATAACGATGTACCTCCACAGCTTGAAGCAGTCAAGGAAAAAGTCTTGCTCGCAGGAAAATATCTGAATGTAGTTCGGGAATGTGGCGGTGTCGATGTGAGCAAGGAAGTAAAAGATGTTCCTCTAACTTTCGATGACCCAAAGTACGCCTCCATATTTCACCATTTTACGTTCTGGGTTTTGGGGGAAAGTTGCCCAGGCTTACCTATTCTCTAGTTTTCTTGATAATGTTGGCTCCGCCTACGCACACGCGAACGAATCGCTCCTTAATTTACTACTAACGACACACGGCCTGCGAGCACGCCTTCGCTCCCTCAAACATTACTTCTTCTTAGACCAATCCGATTTTTTCTCGTATTTCTTGGAGTTAGGAACGTCCGAGTTAAAAAAACCGGCTAAGAACGTCAACGTCGCAAAGCTACAATCCCTCCTCGATCTAACCTTGCGGCAACCCGGAAGTATTGCGGCAGGAGACCCCTTCAAAGAGGATGTCAGAGTCCAGATGAATGAAATTGGCTTAACGAAATGGTTGATGAGAATTGTTAGTGTTAGTGGCGTGGATGAAGGGTCTGGCCTCCCTGAGGATCATCGTAATTCTTCGAATCTGGATGACGATAAGTCAATAACAGGGTTCAATGCAATGGAACTCGACTTTGCGGTTCCATTTCCTCTCTCTCTAGTTATCTCTCGGAAGACAATACTCCGGTATCAACTAATATTTCGGTACTTACTATCCCTCCGGCATCTCGAAATTCTCCTTGTTGGCGCATGGCAAGACCACACCAAGGTCATATCTTGGCGACACCACTCTCGCTTCCTCCCAATCGAACGTTGGAAACGGGGGGCTTTTACTTTGAGGGCAAGAATGCTTGTATTCGTTCAACAACTTCTCTATTTTTGCACAGCCGAAGTTTTGGAGCCAAATTGGCACAGCCTTCAAGAAAGAATCGGAAGCGTTAAAACGGTCGATGAGCTGATGCAGAATCACGTAGACTTTCTGGATACCTGTTTGAAAGAATGTATGCTGACAAATTCTAAACTTCTTAAGGTATGCCCTCAAAGCCCTAGAAGTTCTAAGGGGTGAGTTAATACAGTCTCATGTCCAGACACACTAACTTGAGAGAACCCGTCATTCTCCAGATTCATGCCAAAATTATGCAAACTTGCACAATGTTTGCCTCCTATACTTCGCATCTATCTAGGGCGCTTGTTTCCGCGGACCCAAGTCTTAATCCTTCAAATTCCGGAGCCATTAGTTTGGGACCCGATGAGGCTGCAAAAGTCGAAAAACTGAGCGACAATCTCAAAAAGTACGAGGAGAATTTTAGCCGACATCTTAAAATACTTCTTGATGCCTTAAACTATTATGCTGCGACGGAGACGGTCGTTCTCCTAGGTCTCTGTGCTAGGCTGTCGACAGCAAACGATGGGAACGCTGTCATGAATTCTAGTTTGGAAGAGCCATAGCCAAAATTCACACATCTAAGAAAGTAACTCTAGATATTTTCACAGAAAATACTCAAGTCCCTCAGACCTCCCTTTTGAAAACAGCAAATTCGACGATATAGGTTGATAAAAACTTTGAAGTGAATTTTCAGACTCGATTACCTAGGTAACAGTGAACCAAGAAAGTAGAAAAAGAAGGGTTCCAAAAAGACAAGTACTAGCCCTAAAACTCTTAGAAAACTTTTAACCACCGATCAGTCCCTATGTAAGCTTTGAGAGACGCTTGAACTCATTGATCAGCCCGTTGGTACTTCCATCATGGGCAGAAACTGTCGAATCATCTTCCAATTCTTTGCCGATTTTTTCTATTTTGTTATCAGCACATGCCCACGTTTATAAGGGGGGGGTGGATTCTAAGACTTACTAGCGAGAACTTTGCCAAGTTCGACACCCCATTGGTCGAAGGAATTGATGTTCCAAATCTACAGGAAGCAGGTAGTTTCTTAGAATCTGAAACGACTATTTTGGAACTTGTGCAACTTACTGCGCCCTCTGTGAATGTGACGTGCTCGTAATAAGCGATAAGCGCACCTAAGGCGCCAGGGGTGATCTTCGTGGCTAAGATGCTGGTTGTTGGGCGGTTCCCGAGGAAAACCTTGTGGGGTACCAAGTCCTCCGCGGCACCCTCATTGGCTACCTCCTCCGGCATTTTGCCTACCATAAGAGCTTCTGATTGGGCAAAGAAATTTGAAGCAAGCATCCTATTAAAATCATTAGACCTCTACCAATTGGGATGGTTAGAGAAGGGCATTTTTATACCTCTGGTGTTTGTTACTTTCAACAGGGTTGTGGCTTTGGGCAGCCAATATGAAATCAGTTGGGATCATTTTTGTTCCCTGGTGAAGCAATTGGAAGAATGAATGCTGGGCATTGGTACAAGGCTCCCCGAACAGAATAGCTCCTGTTGTATATTTGACATACTCGCCAGTTCTAGTGATCGCCTTTCCGTTGGATTCCATAGAAAGTTGTTGCAAGTAGGCAGGGAATCGATGGAGATATTGGTCGAAACTATATACAATCGTCAGTAATCATGAAATTGCGGCTTGTCAAGAATGTTAGCCCTTACGGAGCCACGAGATGAGTTTGTGCGCCGAAAAAGTCGCTGTACCAAACGCTTAAAAGACCGCCAATTATCGGAATGTTTTCTGTGACCGGGGCCTCGACGAAATGCCTGTCCATTGCATTTGCTCCGGCGAGGAATTCATTGAAGTTATCGAACCCAATATATATAGCAACCGATAACCCGATAGCAGACCAGACGCTGTATCGTCCGCCAACCCAAGATTCAAAACCGAACATGTTTTTGGTATCAATACCAAAGTTTGCGACCTCCTCGGCATTGGTTGATAAGGCTACGAAGTGTTTAACAATAGCACTTTCTGGGGCAGATTCCAAAAACCAGGCCTTTGCAGTGTTCGCATTAGTGATGGTCTCAGCTGTGGTAAACGTCTTGGATGCAATAAGGAAAATGGTTGTCTCCGGATCACACTGGTTAAGCGCTTCAACAACGTGGGTGCCGTCTATATTGCTGACGAAGTGAAGAGTTATGTCCCTACTAGCGTATGGCTTCAAAGCCTCGGTGACCATCACAGGCCCACTTTTTTGAAAGTAGGAAAAGAGCGAAATTGTCAACAGTTTCGATCAGAGAAAATATATGCTGGGAGAGAGACCCTTACAGATCGGATCCACCGATGCCAATATTTACCACACTTTTTATCTTTTTGCCCGTGTAGCCAGTCCAAGACCCACTTCGTACCTGCTCCGAAAACTCCTTCATGTGCTCAAGTACGTCCCTCGTATCTTCTACAACACTCTTGCCGTCGACCTGCATCGGCTTGTTCGAAACATTTCGGAGGGCAACGTGATAAACGGCTCTTTTTTCTGTGAAGTTAATCTTGTCTCCCGCAAACATTGCGTCTCGGAGTTTTTCAACCCCAGCCTCTCGAGCGAGATCTGCTAACAAGCCAAGAGTCTCATCGGTGACAAAGTTCTTGGAGAAGTCAAAAAGAATGGCATTTCCGTCAGCCGTGTTCTTGAATGTGCGAGAGAATTTGGAAAAACGCTGGGGATCTTTGGCAAAAAGATCTTTGAGAATCAATAGTTTCCCAGAAGCAGCGTGGTGCTCCTGTAGGGCCTTCCAGGCGGGTAGGTCTGATGCTTGAGCGAAAGACATGTTGAGGTATATGTTGGAGGGCGTAGAATTAGGTAGCTCGCTGAATTGAGGTGGAGAGAGGTTCTTTGGGTTCAAAAGACTGGATAGGGTTCAATTTGGAGCCTAGGAGCCAAAATAGGCGTACTTGCGGTGGTTTTAAGTGCAGCTGTCCCTAGGGTGTTCGATTCTCGACGTTCTGTGTAGCTGTACAGCTGAGTGGATATCGATAAGGTGAGGGGCAGCACAGGTGGGGGACATGTGTGTACCTAATTTTTCCGGCGGGAACGGACGGATGATCACTAAACCCAACTACCTACGTACGGAGCACTCGACCCCCAGTTCAATTGCCTTGAGGATACCGCCCGATCAATAACCAGTCCGGACAACCACCGAAGTCGGGTCGCATTGACATTGAAACTAATGTCCCTTCGACGTCATTTCGCACTAGCCACACGCACATGCATCTGCACACAATAGGTTTATGCATGGAGCTTAAGTGGCTAATGAATTGTCACATGCAGACGTCGTTTTCGGTAAAGTAGCAGGAGCAGTCTCGTAACAACAACATCAACAACAACAACAATAATTGCGGCGCAGCCACAGGCTCCGAGCAACAACTCACATACACAGAAAAACACGCGTTGAACCGGGGAGAACTGGAGAAGGCTTTGTCGACTTGGACCTCCGAATGAAAGGTATCTTGGCCATAACTACTAAGAAACATTTCAGCTTCTCCTCCTCACCGCCATATTCTCTATTCAACTCCCATTCGTCATGTCTAGCGCCGGTGCAAAGCGGTCTACTAGGTTTATCACCGACATTCTCTTCATCGCAGCAGCTGTATGTGCTTCTTTATTTTGGTGTCCCTTTCCTAGCCGATATCACCGATACTCTGCTAATAAATCCAAACAGCAACTATCAGCTTATTTTCTAATCAAATATGCTATGCGACGTTTTGACCCCGAGGCTGACCAGAAAGAAGAAAACCGTAAACGAAGTTCTGCCATCCTCCGTAGGCTCGACAATGCCGATGCCGACGCCGGCACAAAAAGAGATGTCAAAAGAGCGGATCTAGCACTGAGTCCTTATGAACAAACCATTGCTATGGAGGTGGTTGCGCCTGAAGATATCCACGTTTCTTTCGAAGGTATCTGAGTGGAAAATATTGACATTTTTGGGAGTCATGCGGGCTAACGTACTACATTACTTCACCACAGATATTGGCGGCTTAGGCGATATTATTGAGGAGCTCAAAGAATCAGTCATATATCCACTCACTGTGTAAAAGCACCCTTTCTAAGACAAAAGTGCAAAAGTAACGATGCGCTAATTTGTGCCTAGGCCTCATTTGTTCTCTGATCACTCATCACTCCTCTCTGCGCCCAAGGGTGTCCTGCTCTATGGGCCACCCGGTTGTGGTAAGCTCGCAAACCATCATATTGTATCCCCTAACAGTGAAAATGAAAAACTAATCATTCGAGCAGGCAAGACTATGCTTGCAAAAGCGTTGGCCCATGAATCCGGTGCCTGTTTCATCAATCTCCATATTAGCACACTTACCGAAAAGTGGTATGGTGATAGTAACAAGCTTGTGGCGGCTTTGTTTTCCCTGGCTCGGAAACTAGAGCCTAGTATAATATTTATTGATGAGATTGACGCTGTATTGCGCAGTAGAAGCAGCTCGGATCACGAAGCCAGCACCATGGTTAAAGCAGAGTTAGTAATTAAGATCTTGAGAAGACACCTTAATACAGGGCCAGAACAAGCTAATAAATGAATGGCGCCTACTTAGATTCATGACACATTGGGATGGACTGTTGTCCACGGTGGACCAGCGCCCACCGCGTATAGTCGTGTTGGGAGCCACGAACAGAATCCAGGACATCGATGAAGCGATCCTCCGACGACTCCCGAAGAGATTTGCAGTCTCTTTACCAAATGCTGAGCAAAGGAAACGCATACTAAAAATTATTCTCAAGGACACAAAGCTTGACGTGCCGGAGGGCTTTAGCCTTGATGATTTAGTGAAGCGGACTGCTGGGATGAGTGGGAGCGATATGAAAGAAGCCTGTAGGGATGCCGCAATGATTCCCATAAGAGAATATATCAAAGAAAAGAAAGCCAGTGGTGAAGAAAACTTGTTGTGTGTAAAGCCGGAGGAGGTTAGGGGGGTTAGAAATGAAGACTTTTTCCGGCGCAGACAAGGGAGTTCATATTCGAGTACACAAGATAGATTAATTGAGAGTTGAATCGCTATTAAATTGAAGGGGAGAGTTATTCAATGCTGGTTCTTCGTTTCTTTTTATTATGTAACATATATTAATTAGATTCACCAAAGATCCGAACCGCTGGCCAACCCTGTTATGTTGTCCGTTCTGTATTACCGCATTGCCTTGAATACCGTGATTCCTTATATACCTTGGCGCTTCATCTCGAGAACGGTACTAACCATTCGTTTGAAGCTTTCCTTGAACCGTCGACGGAACCGTTCTCTCCTCAGTCTCTTCTTTTTCACTCCAGGTCGTTCATAAAACCTCTGCGCGTTTGCATCCCTGATGATAGAATTTTCGGCGCATATCCGTCTAAGCTGCATAAATGCTCCAGCGACATCACCCCCTCGAACAGCGATGCTCCTGCCAGCAGTAGAACCAAGTCTTGGGGGTAATTTGGAGTGGTAGGAAGGTGGTATTGTTGGAACAGGAGATTCTACAGATGTAGCGGAGTTTGAAGTCCAGTCCATAGATGAAACCTTATCTAGAGGTTGGGCGGAATTGCTTTGAAGTCGGACGATGGAAGTTGATATTTGAGTAGTGTGAGCTAGAATTGGGCCGCATCTTCGAGAAATTGAATAGTTTGGGTTGCCAATTGAGGCCAGTCGTAGGGGCAGCCGGACAGCTAAGAAAGTGCCACGGAGGGCGGCGGACATGATGTAGTTGGGCCTGAAGGAATTATCAAGGATAAACGGGCGGGTGGGTAGGTAAGTAGGTAGGTAGGTTCCGAGGCCGTGGTATCTGTGTGTGGGGCATGTCAAATATAATAATTTTATGTACCCGACGGTACAGTCTGGCACGAGACAAATAATTTTATGTTGTTGGAAATTTCCTGATTAGGCAATATAATTTGTACTAACCCGATATAGGACACAATAACACAGCTAGAGAGCAGCTATGGACAGCCTGACATCGCGGGTCAATCTAGCGCGTGGCGTGAACAAAACAACTTCAAACTTTCTTCACTCCATCAACGCTTCCATCACAATCTCAAACCCCAAGCAAGATGTACCCATACAATCGTAAGCCGCTACCGCCGTTTGGGCCTTTACCTATCCCCCTGCTAACAGCATATTTACCTTGGAGCAGAAAATGCATACGGACGGCCCCCAATACAGGCCCCTCCAGGCATTCAGATGCCTCCAGGCTTTGGCTTCCCTCCTGGCTTAAACCCTGCCGGCTCCGGCCCTCCAAATTTTACAGCACCTGGTGCACCCGGCAGCACCCCTCATGCAGCACAAGCTAGTGGTCCTAACCGTCAAGGCATTCCTGCCTTCACGCCACCTGCCAGTCTCCCGAACATTAACTTCAATGCTCCGATCATTAGGCTGGGGACAGCATCGACAAAACAACAACCATTACCTGGTGGATCATCGCACCAACAGTCCCCAGGTCTATCACACCCTCCTCCAAACTCAAAGGCCCCCCTTAACCAAAATTCGAATTCTTCCACGAGGGAATCTGCCTCTGGATTTATCCCACCGACTATTGAGGAACAACTAAAGTCGGTTTTTGTAGGGTCGCTTCCTCCTTTTCTAGAAGATCAATGGATCGAACGAATTCTCAAGGTTCTTACGCTTCCACCCACTAGATAATAATCGGACCTTTGCGAATTATTTTGTTTGCTGACCGAAACTTCAGGCCGCAGGCCCAGTCCGACGATGGATACGAGTATCTGATGAGGGGGGGAAACCCCGAAATTACGGGTTTTGCGAATACGAGACATTCGAGGGGGTCCTAGCAGCTCTTACCGCCATCCACGAACTGAGTATCATACACCCAGACGATCATGACAAGACCTCAAATATATCAGTGTGTACTTCTCCCGAAATATACGTTGCCGCTTGATCATCTGACCCCCTTTTTGTGATAGGTGACTAACGATGACCGTGCGGACGACATCCTCGACAAACTAAAAACCCAAGAGGCCACTGATGCTGCAGATGGAGGATCGAGCGCTGTGGACAAAGGTTCCCGGTACGAGTCTATTCGTCTCGCTATCAGTGGTATAATTTCTGAATATTCCGACCCCGATCGCCATATAGACGCGAGACAGCAAGAGAAAACCGGGAACGGTGACAAAAACCAAGACTCTACTGATGACGACTTGAATAAAACAGACCAAGGGCAACCCGAGGTCGTAACGATATCCCTGACTATAGATGATGAGCTGGCAGACATCCCTGCAGACATGCGGGAAACCGTTTCTAAGGAAATAGCGGCTTTCAGAGAGCGCTCGAACCGGAGAGACGTTGAAAGGATAAAACGGGAGGAAGAAATTGAACAACAAGAGCGTGACCGTATTTCCGGGGGGCGGGGCTATCGATTCGTTTCTCCACCGGCTTCTGCACCGACTGGCCCATCTGCCGGGCCAAACTCTATACCAATCGGCCCGTCAAGGTTGCGCAACGACATACCGTTCTCCGCCCCGACGGGGCCCGCTGCCCAGTCAGTGAAGTTTGTAAACGGATCAGCTAGCCGTTTACCTCAGGAAGATGAGGATTCTGATGCGTCAGACTCTGAACTTGAGTTTCGCCGAAAGCAAAAGAAGACTCGCGAGGTTGATGCCATATTCCTGGACCACGAGCGTCGCTGGTTAAACCGTGAGCGGTCACGCACATCTGCTATCGAGCGAGAGTCTGTAAGAGACAAAGAAGATGTAAGGAGAGAAGAAATAGAACGGGGTGCCATGGCTTTGCGGCTTTCGGAGTGGAACGATGATGTTGAGATGGACCGCCGGGTAGAAGACTACTATATCGATCGGTCACTTTGGATAAGAAATAGGGCCCAGTTTCGATCCCGAGAGAAGGAAATGGATACACGGGACAGGGCGGCGGAGGAGCGTTTACTAGATAGCGAGAAAAGAGCGTCCGAAGCTAGAACTGTTGATTCATTGCGCGAAAAGGTGACAAATAAGGATGAACAGGTTTCTGGAAAAGAACCCCAGCAGCCGCGTATCAAACTTTCTCTAGGGGCTTCGGTGCGCAATAAAGCAACTGACTTAACAAGGCCAAGGCGTACTGTGGCCGACATAGAAGGGCTCTTGGAGGACGAAGAAGAGGACAGTTCGAAAACAAGGAGGGTTTTGGTCCCGATTCAATACGAGGATAGTGTAGGCGCGGATGATGAATCAAGAGAAGAGCTTGTCAAAGCGCTAGCACAGGAGATACCATCCGACAAAAATGGACTCTGGAACTGGAAGGTCAATTGGGAATTTGTGGATGATGCTATGATAAAAGAAAAACTGCAACCTTTCGTAGAGAAGAAGATTGTTGAAGTATACCCGATACCATCCTACCCCATCCGCTACCGGTTGAAATCCAACTAACAATTGATGCATAACTATAGTATCTTGGAGTTCAGGAACAAGAACTTATTAATTTTGTTCTGGAACACATCAAAAGGCGAGGCTCTGCTACAGACCTTGTAAAGGAACTGGAGATGGTAAGTTTTTTTCCTAGGTAGAGTACTCGGCACCCTAACTAACCCGGTCCTCCCCTGTGACAGGCATTAGATGAAGATGCTGAGGTATTGGTAAAGAAAATCTGGCGAATGTTAATTTTTTTCTCTGAAGGAGAAAAACGAGGTCTCGTTACATGAAGGGCTATCCGTCTACCTAGGCACTTACTTTAGGTATCCGGGTATTTATCAGATATCGCTTGCCCTTCCCCTCTACCCCCCGTTCCCTTTCTTCCCTTCTCTCTCCCCTCTCTCTCTTTCCCCCCTCCCATATATGTGTATCACAACAAAATCGAGGGCGGATCGCATGTGATAATGATATACAATAAATCGCCCTTTCAATATGCATCATACATTGATCCATGAAATCCGTCAAACGTCTCAGTAAATCAATATCAATATCAAGGTCTTTCTGGGGCACTGAAATTTGCGGTAGAATCTGAAAAAGGCCGGCCATAGAAAGTATGTGCTGGATACCTATACATTTCCACATTAGTCAGGTGTAATAGTTGTTTGTGCTTGTGCACGCTCGTGGGGTGAAATGGGTACCGCCGCCGCATAAAACGCCACAGTTTCGAACAAAACCATCCCCAGAACCCACATTTGACATCAACCTGTCTCGCGCACCAGCACCGGCTGCCCATTCCGCACCTCACCAAAACGTAAGCCCAACTGTGCCCTTTAATGTTTCGTCGCCATCGCCCAAAAATATCCCTTCGCCTGGCCGTCGTCTTCATACTCTAACTACCCCCGACACCCACCATATTGATCTCCAGAATATCCAACTTTGGGCAAAAATGATGATGGAGATGGAAGAAGGGACAAACGCCCCACCCACGGCCTCCTCGAATCTCCAAGGAAGCGCACAATTCGCGACAACTCAGAGCACGAGTCACTCGGGGTTCCGCAGGTAAGAAAACCTCAATCCCAATCGGGAGAGCACAGCATCCAGGTCCACCGCCCCCCCCCCGAAGCGCCTCTGTATCCACAGACGGCTTTTGCATACTCGACCAGTTCAAAGAATATAATGTACCTGGGTTCGGTATTGCATGGCTTGCCCGATATTAATGCTAAACGGAGTACTTCTCAAATAGACAAAGGGCATCACGAGCTTGTGAGGTATGCCCTTCCGGATTCAATATCCAATTCCTGATCTCACGACCTCGATTCTGGGTTTGCTGACTCCGCCATATTTCACAAGACGTGCCATGCACGGAAGGTAATTGGCACCCCTTCAATCAGTAGTACCAATGTCCTTGTGATTAATTGAAGCCTATTCCTTGATTCCCCATATCGATCGTTTTGTACCGCACTCTTTCTTTCGGAGGTGTGCATTACTATCCCCCATTCGAAAGGACGAAAGGATCCCTCGATGATCACCATGTAGTGATGGCAGAAAGAAGACAAACAGACTAATTGATAAGATAGGTTCGATGCGATGCCGCCAGCTTGGGGGTACCCTGCACCAACTGCGTCGCGTTCTCTATCGAATGCAAGATCCCCACACCGAAGAGAAAAAAGGCAGCGCTCTCGGAAGCAAAACAAAAAGAAGATGAATCGCAAGTCAAACTCAATCAGTAAACCCTTCAAATTTTATGGACTACGCCCGTCTAACGTCACTCTAGAGACTCTAAAAGTGCGTCTCCTGGAGCCGCACCAAGGGTTGTTGTCGGTGATCAGCCACCATATGAAGCAGATGAACCGTCTCTTTCGACGATCACCCCGGATTCTCTAGCTGAACCCGAAGCCAGCCCTTTTGTTCAGTTTCTAAAGCCTAAGTTCGCTCGCGCCCCCATTAAGGACGCAGGGCGAGTTGCTTACTTGGGTAGGAACCCACCTCGAACTCTTGGGTGAATTCGTCTAACACGGGTGCCACTTTTGGAAAACATAAGGAGAATCATCTAATCTCAGCTTGCTGGTGCACGACAGACACGGCGCCACTGATGTCGTACATTACCCCCTGCCAGAGAGCATTAGAGGGGCCCGCGCCCAGCTTACGGAGCTTGATAGCGAGGAAATTGACATTCTCAACAGAAGAGGAGCATTTTTGTTGCCACCAAGGGCGCTTTGTGATGAGTTGGTAGATGCTTTCTTTCGCCATATCGCTCCTATCGTCCCCGTTATCAATCACAACAGGTTTATGCAACGGTATAGGGACCCCGCAAACCCCCCATCCCTTCTTTTACTGCAAGCGGTGCTTCTTGCGGGCTCTCGTGTCTGTACAAACCCAGCTCTCATGGATGCGAGCGGTTCTACAACGCCGGCCGCTTTAACGTTCTACAAGCGGGCCAAGGCTTTATACGATGCAAACTACGAGGACGATCGGGTAACCATAGTACAGTCGCTTATATTGATGGGGTGGTATTGGGAAGGCCCGGAAGGTATTTCGCGGAATTCAAACCCGTTAAACACTTGTTAACTGAATTGTCAGATGTTACAAAAAACGTTTTTTATTGGAGCAGAGTCGCTACGGTTGTTGCACAAGGTTCTGGAATGCATCGGAGGTATGTTACGCCCCTAGCTAGGAGCTCCTAGGAAACCCGTTGCATTAATAGTTATTTCTCTTTGCTATTAGCGTAGAACGTTCCCAGCTCAGCAGGGCAGATAAGAGAATATGGAAAAGGATCTGGTGGACATTGTTTACGCGCGATAGATCTGTAGCTGTTGCGCTCGGGCGCCCGGTTCATATAAATACAGATGATTCTGATGTCGAAATGATATCCGAGGATGACTTTGATGAAGACGAGCCAGGAGCTTCCGTGGAATACAAGCCGAATCCGCTCCATGTAAAGTTTTTTCTTCATTACGTCAAGCTCTGCGAAATCATGGGATTGGTACTTTCACAACAATACTCTGTCGCCCTCCGTACTCGCAGGCACCATGTGATCGATCTCACACACAGTGATATGGCATTGGCAGATTGGATGATCAACCTGCCGGAGGAGATGAAGTATCATATGAACGATGTCCGAAGGCAAAATTTTTGGGCAGCTCTCCTCCACTCTACATACTAGTAAGTTTAATCACTCAATCATATCTATCGCAAGCTCTTACGTTAGTAATCAATATAACCATAAGCTTACCCTCGAAAAAAAAAACTAGTACGACTTTGTGTCTGTTGCATAGAGCGCATATGCCACCGGCTACCCTCCCCGATTCTGCTCATCTTAACAATACCATATCAGGGTACCCATCCCGCAAAATCGCCTTCCAAGCAGCAGCCAACATAACAACCATCATACAAAACCTTAGGGCTCATGATGAATTAAAATATTGCCCAGCTTTCATGTACGTCCAGCCAACAAACGAACAAACGAAAGAAGAACCTACCACGGTTGGCTGATCTTATCACCAGTGTTTATAGTTTGTTTTCAGCATTGATAATGCAAGTGTATCAGGTTCGTTCCTCGCAACCTGCGATAGTTGCAATAACCCAAGACAGGATGAAAGTATGTATGGAAGCTTTGAAGGAAGTTTCGAAGATTTGGCTAGTTGCGAAAATGGTTTACACTCTATTTGATTCTATTTTGGGGAACAAGGCTCTGGAGGAAAGATTGGCCAAAACTAGTGGGTACCGCCGTTCTGGCGACAAAGCGAGACGCAGCGACGCCTCAAGCAGAAAAATCACGGATACGGCTTCAAAGAGGAAATTCGAAGACATCGATCTCGGAACCATTTCAACAGGGCCAACTCCCCAAATGTCCTACGAAAGGTCACGACCACAAACCCCCACGGTCTCTCCAGGTCTTAAACAGCAACAGAGCATCCGCCAAACAACGACCATCCACGGCCATAATCTGCAACATCCGTTTGGTGGCAATTCACATACAGCCTCAACGAGTGCGGATCCTCATAATGTTCGTTCATACCATCAACATGCTTCTGGGTTTCTTCCAAATATTGGAGTCCCCGCAACGCCACCTGATTTTTTCTTGGTAACAAAATCCTCACCGCCAATATCTCAGGCTTTATGGGAAAACTTCCAGCCAAATCAACTGTTTCCGGAGGAGTCAGGAAACAGTGGCCTCGAAAACATCCCTTCGAACCATGACACCACGCCTCAGCCGCCTAAATGCTCTCTAGTAGATGCAACCTCTCAGTCATTCGCGAGCTCTCTTCAAACCCCCCCCCTAAAGCCAAAAGAAACTACCCATCTGGCCAATAGCCCAGATATGCAAATTGATTCTAGCCACATACACAATGGTGATCTTAATCACAGCTCCCTTTGGGCAGCAAACTTGGACGTCGATACCTCGATGGACTCACCTGATGACTCTTGGAGTAACAGTAGCTCCGGCCTCGCGCAAAGTGCACCTACAACGTTGAATGTGGAGGACTGGTAAGAAATGTTATGCCTAAATAAATATCGGACTATGTTAACGGCAATACGTTAGGTATCAATTTTTCGGCCTTAGTGCTGGTTTCGATATCAACCAACTTGGTCTAGGATCATCAGGAGGTTAAAGGCTGTCAAACTACCTAATGTGTTTGTGGCACTGGAATAGGCCCGACTATATTCAACTTTTTAGGGGTGCAAGCCACCCGCGTCAGCGGAAACTTGGGACACATATTCCAATTTATTTAGGCCAAATTCATTATTCCTACACCGGCCTCTCCAGTATCATGAGAATAATATCCTTAAAACCATTCCCACTTCATGCGCTGTGCGTCTGCGGCCCTCTAATAGCTCAGTACCTAACGCCGGTAGTAGAACCCTAGCGCCTCCCTAGCTAGCCCTCCTTTGCGGTTCACAATTCGACTTGAGCTCCAACTCTATATCACCTTACAATTCCATCTAATAATAATCCTTCATCTTAGAAAACCTCACGATCCTAGCGGGAACGAGACATATTTTTTTTCCACACGCTAGCAAGTGTTCCTCCCTAGTATGTATGTATTTACCTTTACTTCTGGTTTTTTTTTAAGAAAAAAATTTTGATAGATGGAAACATATGATAATACAACACAGCATAAATTAAAATAACATAATATAATGTAAAGAATAAGACAACATGCAATTGTTTTGGTTGGATGTATCGAAATCAAAATTTCCTGTCGGTTGCCCGCATTCTCAAGTCCTCAAGGATCATGCTGGCCCCTTTTTCTGCGATTGCGTACACTGTCGCCTGTGGGTGGCAACTTATCTGAACCGGCATGACGGAGGCGTCTATACAACGTAAATTTGTGGTGCCATATACCTTCAAGCGTTCGTCAACCACACCATATTTACTGCCCTCGGAGCCACCCATAGCACAAGTTCCCGTCGGATGCCAATCCGAAATCGTATGATATTTCGCATATTCGAAGAAATTCTCCTCGTCGTCCTTCGCGAGAGGGGGGAATACCCTTCGTCTGACGAAATTACAAAGTGGGGCAGTTTTGGTAATTTTATGGCCGAACTTTAGACCCGCTGCCATTATTTCTCTATCCAGTGAGCCATCTCCCCGGTAGTATTTCGGGTCGATTACCGGTTTGTCATCTGAAGTTGTTCTCGCTTTTCCCGATGGTTTCGGTGGGATGTGGAGACACCCTGTGGAAAATGGGTATTGCAACATTTGTAGCATAGTACCATACTGTTTACCATCCTCCTGTCCGAACACCGGATACCAGTTCCGAGCATCAAACACAAACTCCATTTGCCCAAGCGGTTCTTTCGAAGTTAGCTTTTCCAATAAGGACTGATTTCGCGGGCTGTTCGCCTGTGCTCCCCAGGAGTCCTTTACTTGGGTGGCCAGCCGGGATATTTCATCTTCCCTCATGAAGTGAGAGAGCGGAAGGTACGTAAAACTACAGGGCAGGATGGTTCTGAGCCCCGTTCTATGCTCTTCATACTCCTCGTCGGCAGCCGCAGCTAGATCTCGGTTAGTTCTTAGGTCGTCTGCATTTGGGATAGCAGGGTCGATTTCGTAGACCATAGCCACCACTATCAAAAATCAGTTCATGTTGACATAATATGTTATGTAGTATGCAGACTTACTCAATCTGTCCTGCAGGTTTTCTCCAACGTTTTTATTCTCTATTTTTACCTCAATATTAGCAGCCGTGAGTATGTCCGGATTCCCTATCCCACTAAGCTCAAGAATCAGAGGCGACTGAACACTCCCACAAGATACAATGACTTCTTTTCGAACGAAGGCAACGTATTCCGAACCGGCGGACTCGAACCGAACCCCGGTTGCTTTCATCTGCCCGTTGATCGGCTCTAAAATAACCTCTCTGGCGATAGAGTCACATATGACCTTAAAATTCTCGCGCGATGCATTGGGCAAATAATATTCATTTGCGGCGTAGCTCCTTTTCGTATCGGAGTTCACAGATGTGAGACCGGTCCATACGCCCACGTTGGAACCATCAAAGGTCGAACGACGTTGGATGCCCAGATTTTCTAAGGTTTCATGCCAATACTCATGATGAGCGCCATGTTGTTTTGAATATGAAGTCTGGATGAAACCTGATGAGCCGTGGCTTTCGTAGCGATAGTCGAGTTTGTGCTTCTCTTGATCTGGGTCCGGGTGGATAAATGTTTCTGCTTTTCTGAAGAATGGGCTGATGAGGTGGAAATTTGCCTTGGGTCAGTTGTCAGAGAAAAAGGAAGCAGGAGCAGTCACTATATCATAGCCACTTAGGTACAGTGTACACCGAATGCATATAACTTACAGCATACTTTCCCACCCCCAACCTTTATTTCCAAGCTGTTCCCAAGAATCATAATCCTGCTTGTTTCCCCTCATCCAAGTGAAGAAGTTAATAGCAGAACTACCGCCGAGAACTTTCCCCCTAGCCCACTCTAGCTTTCTGTCGCCGAGCCCTTCCTGGACAGTAGTTTCGAATTCCCAATCATATTTTGTATGAACTGCCTCTCCGAAACGCCCTGGGAGATCTATTAAAGGGTCACCAAAACCCGGGGGGCCGGCTTCGATAACCCCTACTGTGATACTAGGGTCTTCGGTCAGGCGAGAAGCGACAACCAGACCCGCGGTACCCCCACCGACTATAAGATAGTCGAAGTCGCAGGTAGCGAATTCCGATGCTGATATGTCTGGCATACTCATATTGAAGCAAAGATTGATATATGTAGATATCCCTGGCTACTCTGTGGTAGGGCGGCAGGCACCAAGTTTCAAGTTTTCGAATATTCTCCGGCAAAATGCTGCGCACGCTACATACAGGCTTGGAGCTTTGCTTGAATGTAGAGTAGTCACCCCCTACCTCTGCTAGATTGAGGTAAAGAAGAAGAATATTGTCTCAGAGATGCCATCTCCAGAATAGCACAATGGGAGTTTGGGAGATGTGCGGAACTCCAGATCTTATATACTACGGCTCCGGTGGTCCCAACAGCGCGTGGCATTGTACGGAGGCCGGGGGAGAAGTACCGATGGATTTTGCTTGATCCGATGTTCGAGGTGATGCTAACCAAGAATAGAATGGTTATTAAGAGTAGGTATACAACACAGAATAGTCTGGGTGCGAGTCTGCCTTGGCGCCGAGAAAACGCGCAACTGACGACACGAACGTGCGAGAGAGAAAGGACATCCCCAGCTAAACAACCGCGCCGTTGATCTCAAATCATAAAACTTACCAACAAACTAGCACCCGCTCTAAAGCTAGGACAGGTTTCGAAATGTCGGCCAAAGCAAGTCAGCGGGCAAAGCTTGAAGAGCTCAGAAAACTACGAGGATCCAAACAAACACGACTTAGCTCCTACAAGACCCAGGACGAACAACGGTTGTTCGATGAGCTTGACGAAATCGAGTATCGAAAAGTACAACGCTCGAGACTAGACCAAGACGATTTTGTTGTGGATGACAATGGGGAAGGATATGTTGAAAATGGATTGGACGAGTGGGATATGTGTGGCCGGGGGGATCATGTCTCAAGCTCCGACGAGAATGATAACCCAGTTCGTCCTTCAACAAAAGGTTCGAATACACACATCATATCCATTGGATCCTTCTGATGCTTACCAACACCAGGTAAACGAAAGCGTGAGAATGAAATTGTTACCCGTAAGGATCAAGATGGGAGCATCAATAAATACTTTACATCGATGGCAGCACAGGGGGCTACGAAACACAAGGTAACATCATTCCCAACCTAAGCTATGCTCTCTCTAATTATCATCAGGCGGAATCAACTGTCGAAGACAAAGAATTCCTAAGTGAGCTTCTGGGACAGATGGATGAATCTCGAGACTCTTTCCGAACCGTGAAAAAATTAAAAGCCCAGGACCCAGAGCCAACAAACAGGCGCCAAAGAGCCCTATCGCCATCCAGGAGTACTGCGCGTGGGCTCCGAGTTCCGGAACATAAGCGATTGACAAGTGGTCAAGCCGATTTCGTCCCTAGTTCACCGCCCCGACATGGGGTCATCTCGGATGATAACGAAGACGATGACCACACCAAAACCTTCGATGACGATACAACTCGACAAGCTACCGCATTTATCACACCACACGAGGATATCTCTAAATCTCGAATTTCAGTCAAAACGGAACCTCCTGAGCCAGAAGCTCATGCATACAACGAGAACGACGACGATGACGAATTGGCTGTGAGACCAATCCTCACCTTCAGCAAAACAAAAGATTCCCCTATTAATCTAAATTCAATACGTCCCGACCGTTCGGCCAAAAAAGACACCATACCAGAAAAACTACCCACTCCTATCGAGGACATCGATGCTAATCAGTGGAGGGCTGTTGACGCGAAACTATCTCATAACCATGTTTCAGATCAGCCTCTTCTTGGGAAAGTTGCATCAAAGGATGTAACCAATGATGATGGCTCCTTACGATTTTTTTGGATGGATTATACCGAGATAGGCGGCTGCTTGTGCTTATTTGGAAAAGTACTTAGGCCAAACTGTCAATGTACAAGAAGATCTACCTCAGCTAACGCGGGGCCACATTGTAGGTTTTTGTCAAAGGAACGGACAAACACGCCAGCGCCTTCGTTAAAATTAACGGGATCATGCGTAAACTATTCTTTCTACCAAGGGTGACAAAACGTAGCACCGGAGAAGAGGTCGAGATGTCCGATGTTTATTCAGAGGTTGACGAACTCCTCACCAGACTAAAGATTAGTCAAGGAAGCGATTGGAAAGCCAAACCATGTTCTCGGAAGTATGCATTCGAGTTGAATGACATACCAAAAAAATCTGACTACCTAAAAGTACTCTACCCATACGACAGTAAGACTCAATCTCCTTTATAAAATGATGGCATATAGTAATCCGATTCATTCACCAGGACCCCAGGTACCTCCAGGCACAAACGGGGAATCCTTCTCCCACGTTTTCGGCACAGGGACGTCCATTTTTGAGCAGTTCGTGCTGGCTCGAAACATCATGGGCCCTTGCTGGTTGCACATTGAGGACCCAATATTTACGGGCATCGAAAATGTACAGATTTTCTATACCTCAAATCCGTGAAATTTAGAGCTAATAATATTCTAGGCCTCTTGGTGCAAAGTTGAGCTTCAGGTTTCTTCCCCCAATCTCATAAGCTGTGCTGGGGATTCAGAAAACGATATAGCGCCCCCACTAAAACTCATGAGCTTGGCTATCCGAACGAAAATTGGACACAGTGATAATAAACCAGAAATAATTTCGATAACCGGGCGGGTTTATGATAATGTTGCCCTCGATGACACGCGACCGGTTGACGAGCTGCCTTGGTCCTGTTTTACGATATGTCGTCCAGTGGGACAAAGCTTTCCTGTTGGCTTCCAATCTGCAATAAGCGGCCAGCAAACCATCATAAAAACTGAAAAAACAGAGGCCGGGTTATTATCATTATTTCTAGGTAAGAAGGAGCAGCTTAAACTGGCTTGGAAACCCCAACATGAAACTAATTAGAAAACAGCCAAACTCCAAAGTACAGATCCGGACATATTCATCGGGCATGGTCTTGAGGAAAATATATACGGGACTCTCATACATCGAATGAAAGAGTGTAAGGTATTAAATTGGCACCGAATTGGAAGGATGCGACGTAACCAATGGCCAAATAATCTCGGGCGGGGTGGGTATTTTGCAGAGAAACAAATCGTATCCGGTCGCTTGATGTGTGACTTATCTAACGACTTAGGAAAGGTAAGAAATATACATTTTGCCAACAAATAAGGACTCCAATTTTAACATAGCACAGTCCCTGATGAATAGGTGCCAGTCATGGAGTTTGACCGAAATATGCAATGTGATCTTAGGCGAGCGCAGAACGGAACTCGACAATGAAGAATCACTCAAGACATATGCAGCCTCTGGGAGTGGGTTTCTAGACTATCTCGGGCATGCAAAGACAGATACCTACATGATTGCCGCTGTGGCCCTTCGCATACAAATGATCCCGCTTGCGAAACAGCTGACGAATTTGGCTGGTAACTCCCTAGCGCGAACCTTGAGTGGTACCAGAGCCGAGCGAAACGAATACATCTTACTACATGAATTCACTAAAAACAAGTACATATGCCCTGACAAGTCCTACGATAAGAGGAATTCGCAAAAGGCGACTGATGATGATGGTGCTGATGAAGAGGAGGACACACGCCCGGATGGGAAAAAGAAAGACAAGTTCAAAGGGGGGCTAGTCTTGGAACCTGAACGTGGCCTTTACGATAAATTTGTCCTAGTTATGGATTTCAACAGTTTGTATCCCAGTATCATCCAGGAATTCAATATTTGTTTTACTACAGTTGAGAGATCCGATCTTGTGAGCATCTCTCTACCCCGAAGAGTCTCGGCATCTTCCTTGACTAACTAGGAAGCCCAATAGCCCGAAGACCAAGTTCCCGAGATCCCTTCAGAACAAGCGCAAGGGATTCTACCCAAACTCATCTCAACCCTTGTTCAGAGGCGTCGGCAGGTCAAAGGACTCATGAAGGACAAGAGAGCTACTCCCGCACAACTTTCACAGTGGGACATCAAACAACAGGCGCTCAAGCTGACGGCAAATTCGATGTATGGTTGCCTTGGATATGTTAGATCTCGCTTTTATGCCCGCCCTCTGGCAATGCTCACTACATTCCAAGGCCGAGAGATTCTTCGGTCCACAAAGGAACTTGCAGAATCATCTCAACTGCGGGTTATTTACGGCGACACTGACTCGGTAATGATAAATACAAACGTCGATATCTATGCCGATGCCATCAAAATAGGAAATGATTTTAAAAAAGCGGTTAACGACAGATACCGGCTCCTTGAAATCGACATCGATAATGTCTTCCAACGGCTCCTACTACACTCTAAAAAGAAATACGCAGCGCTGAATTTCTCGGCAGACGGGAAACCTGTTGTCGAAGTAAAAGGTCTTGATATGAAACGACGAGAATACTGCCAGGTCTCAAAAGATGTTTCGGGGTTAGTTCAAACCCGACAACTGGCATCCTTGTATCCGCAACGAGCGAGGTAGTCATGAAATCCATACTGATAGTGTAACCCCAGTTGGATCTTAAAAAAAATCCTTTCTGGTGAAGATCCTGATGCGGTGATCGAAGAAATCCACGAATACCTCCGAGGTATTGCACAAAACATGCGAGAAAACAATATACCATTTAGTCGGTATACAATCTATACGGTATGATATGTAAAGACGGGTGTTTATCTCCTGCTTCGGGCGCTTCGGTTGCCTTACGGATAGCTGGTGCCATTGAACTAACAGCAAGCAATACTCTAGAAATTATCGAAAGACCCAGAGCAGTACCCTGGAGGTAAGACAATGCCGCAAGTTCAAGTCGCTCTTAGACGAAGATCAAAGGGGGACGTCGTGAAGGCAAACGATGTTATCGCCTATATCATAACGGGTGATGGAGGCAATACTTCAAGTCCAGCTGAAAGGGCATTTACTCCTCAGGAACTGAAATCAGACCCAACATTAAAGCCAGGTCAGTTAGTCTATCGTCGGAGATATCTTCCCAGAAATCGTGCTAACATATATATTATGATAAGACCCGGAATGGTACCTTCTCAAACAGATATTCCCCCCTGTAGAGAGACTTTGCGGCCCGATTGATGGTACCGACGCTATCCGGTTAGCAGAATGCCTAGGTGAGTGCAGGGCGCCTTAGCGCATTGTTATCTTATGGTAACTCACCCCCCCTAAGGACTAGATACAAGAAAGTACCAAATCGCATCCACTACTGCTCAAACCGAAAGCGAAATTCATCCACTCGAATCTACCTTAAGCGACGAAGAGAGATTCAGGAACACCAAGCCCTTGGTCCTTACTTGCCTTTTATGCAAGACCACTTTGAGTTTCGGTGGTCTAGATTCAGACCTAGAAATATGCACCCCCGACGGTCTTAAATGCCCTAATATAGGATGTAGCAATATATTTACGACTCCCGTGCTCATTGCTCAAGTGGAATCGAACATTCGAAGCTGGACATCACAATACTATGAATCCTGGTTGGCCTGTGAGGATAGCTCTTGTGGCAATAGGACAAGGCAAGTCTGCGTATATGGAAAGCGATGCATTGGGCCTCAGGGGCTCGGTATCGGTTGCGAAGGTCCAGTAGCCTACGAGTATTCCGACAAAATGCTCTACAATCAACTTCTTTATTACAGTACGCTCTTTGATGTAGAAAGGGCAAAGCTCAAAGCTGCTGTCGAAAACAGAGGTAAGGCTTCCGAGACAGCTAGCAAGTAGGTGATCTGTTCCAAGCTAACGAAATCTCAGAATCGATTGCAATTCTAGCAGAAAGATACCGAGCAAACTTCAGCATGGTTTATCGGGTTATTTCGCTTTACCAAAGGAAATGTGGTAGGAGTTGGGTGCAGATGGACAGCATTTTCTCGTTGATATAGTAAGATGGTTCGTCATTGAATCAACAAACTGATGTTACAGTAGAAAATATCAGAAAACCTGTTTGGTGAACAAGTTAGAACGCCATTACTGTTAGCGGAAATGTTCTCGCATGTCCAACGTAAAATGGCAATAGAACTAACTAACATCCTCCTCCTCCTCCTCCTCCTCCTCCTCCTCCTCCTCCTCCTCCTCCTCCTCCTCCTCCTCCTCATCCATGTCCCCTTCCTACGGCAATCATATAACAGCAGCTAGTTTTGTTATCACGCTAGGCTAATGTTTCAAACCTCGGGCTCTGTCCAAATGAGATCCCTGTCTGACAATACGCAAAGTATGCCTTCGCGTTAACTAAAATAATCCTCTCGCATTGAGGGGAATCCCGTCAATGCCAGCAACGGAATCGATTCTGCCACCGCCTGACTCTAAGAGCGTCCCGAATTTGAGCCCCAACTACAACCCCCTCTCTCTGTGTGTGTGAGAGGGGGGAAAGAAAAAGAAAGATAGTCCATAATCGTAGCCATTGAACGTGTTTACCGCTGCAGAGCGAGGTGCCTGAAGCACCTCCAAATTCATTAAGAATACTTTGATAGGGCTATTTACAAAAAAGCGTAGTTACAAAGTAAAGGAGAGGTAAAACAAAGTCTTGGAGTAATTGCAGGCTCCGGTGGCAACCTAATTCATCTGTCTGATCAATTGGTTGATATATGACTCTCGGTCTCCGGTATCACCACCTTCAATATAGTGTTTGAACTTGCGGGTGCGGAACCCCCCAGTTGGGTTACTAAGCTTGAAGGGCCAGAGGAAATTGCTCGCCTGCTTGAAGTTAGGACCAACTGTGTATATTTCATGGATAAGGTCCTCGATCGAGAGGATTCCGTATTGGTTAAGAGTGGACTCGATGAGCGAATTGTCGGTTAATGGAATTCGTTGCTTATTGATTTTACCATATCCCCTCTTGTATATCAGCTCGCGAACGCTCTTCAAATTAGGCTCGCCGTAGGCAATATAGGGCTCAACGATACGGAGCATCTCGGAAGTGGCCTTTGTGAGCTTGATGAAAACCTACATTACAATCGTTAATTTAACTAACACTTTGTAAAGAAATGATAGTGGCACTGACTGCATTGTTGATCTGGAGGAGGCGGAGGAGCTGAAGAATCTTTCGTGGCTTTGGGGCAATCTTGTTGATACTAATCAAAATCTGTCAGCAAATGTCTGTACATTGTTATGGCAATTCCACTTTACCCTTTAATACGAATGACGAAGGCGAGTTTCGGCTGGGCGGGAACATAGAAGCTGGAGTCTTGTTTGGCAGAGCGGGCAAGACGAATCTTCTCCCTCTCCGCATCTCGGTATTCCTTGACGTGGGCCTCCGCACGTTTGAAGATGGTCTCCCTCTTTGCTTTTGATGCCTATAATAATTCCAACGAGTTTCAGCTCATGTTCATGACCACGGACATGCGGCTTCAAGTAGCAAAATTATGTCATGTCTTTCAGTCCCGAAAGATGGTTAATTAAGCAGCCTCATCGTTCGAATTCAAATTCAAACTTGCTACAAAATGTTGAGGTTTTCATCAAAAATGATAATAGCGATGATAAAAAAAGCGACAGGGCCTTGATATTTGTTACTTACAACTTTGCGTTGCTTTAGGGCAGAGAGTCGCTCCTCAGTCTGCTTTTCAGCTGACTTTCTCTTCTTGAGAAGAGTCTCAGGGACGAGGATTTGCTCCGAGGTAGGTACGGTCCTAATTAACCACGAACACCAGGAAATATCATTAGAAGATGCGATGAAGGAGAAACCATTTTATAGAACGCTTGGGTCGAGAGCTATAGTAGGCAACCAAAGTGTATCTGGTCCTGCTACTAATCTTTGTTCCTCGCTGGTCGGTTCTCGCTATCAAATTTGATCGCAGAGAAGTGGATAACCTAAGTCCGTTGCTTCTCGGCGACAATTCCTTGCAGGGCCAACCAGACGAAGCCAGTAGTCCTGAAGATATATGTCCAGTTGATTATCATGTACCACAATCCAAACTGAGGGAAAGATATGTATATGCAAACCCCACCCTCGTTGGATATAGTGTGTAGAATGGTATCAAGTCCATTTTAAGGACAGCGGGTTTCTATAACCCGTCTATCCCAACTCCTCACTTTGGCAGGAACGCGATGTCAAGAATCTGTACAACATAGTGACATTCGCAGCTCCACCAGAAAGCGAGATATCGGAGAGCCATGGACTCCAAAACTCGCAGTCGAGAAAACTAAAGCATGGTGCTCATATTGGTAGCTCGTGTAAAGGAAGAATAGTTTATTAAACATACGGCATTGTGGCGAGTTCGTCGATGCTTTGAATAACTCGATACTGTTTTTAGAGGTTGTCGTGTGGTATGTCGTAGATGGATTGAAATTGAAAATGTTAAGATTAATGTTGAAGGTTTGCAGGAAGACAGGATTGGGTGTGAACAAGGATGTGCTTCGCTTGGCATTTTAACCAAAACAGGACAAGCAGTCACACCTTTCATGGTGACATACAACAGAGCGATACAACACCAACACAACGGCGATACAGCGACAACACAATATGATACTTTGTTACACTTATTGTATATACACGTTAGCCGCGCCGATGCCTCGATGCCCCACTTGTTCTTATATGCAAATAGAAGTTATTAGGCCGAAAATGTTACCTATTGGGACTATAAACTAGGAAGAATGCAAGCTTGTAGTTAGTGGTGACCCAAAGCCCATCAGGATCTACTAACCGAGGAAGCCTCCAGAATAGCTTCCCTTAAGTTTTGTGAGAATTTAAAGACATCTTCATACGAGTTATATAGGGGGGCAGGCGCTACCCTGATCACATCGGGGTCTCTTTTATCCACGATAACTCCAGCTAGTTCCAGTTTTCTAAATACGGCATCCATAATCCCATCTTTAAACAATAGACTGAGCTGTGCGCCACGTTCCGAGGGGTTCCCGGGTGTGATTATCTCGTAGAACCTCCCCGTTTCTTTGTCCGCAAGAAGGAGTTCTTCCATATACCCTGTGAGGCGGACCGATTTCTCCCGGATAGCCTTGATTGTTGTTTTCGCGAAAACCCTAAGAGACCCGAGAAGGCAGACAGCCGCCATGACTGAGGGGTTCGAGTGTTGAAACCCGCCGGCTCCAGGAATTGCAACAAATTCTGTGGAATTCACGGCCCCATAGTTAGTGACTAGATTGTGGCCCGGTGGAATGGAGCGCTACTTACTATTCTCCATCTTAAAACGACTTGCTTGGTCATGTCCCCACCAACCAGTCAGGCGTCCCTGGTTGGATCGGGTCTCGTGAATGAATATCCCAGCGATTCCTCCAGGGCCAGAGTTAAGGTACTTATAACTACACCATGCCGCAAAATCTACTTGCCAGTCATGTAAACTGAGCTCAACATTACCAACTGCATGTGCAAGGTCCCACCCAACAACGATATCATGGCTCTTTGCGAATTTTGTGATCCTTTCCATCTCGAACAGCTGACCCGTGTAATACTGGACTCCGGGAAGGAGGATCATAGAGGTAAATTCCCGGTTATCTTCTATGACTTGAAGGATATCGCGGGTATCAATAGTATGCTTCCCTGGCCGTGGAGAAATTGATATTATGGCATCTGAAGGATCCAAACCATGCCAGAGCACTTGTGACTCGATAGCATACTAGAAGGCTTCATTTAGCTGGTGGCCGAATGAACTTCACCTTAGATTTTAAGCCAGTAACTTACATAGTCCGATGGGAACGCCTTGTCCTCAACGATAACTTTATACCTCACATTGGTAGGTCGATAAAAAGCCGCCATGAGAAAATGAAGATTCGAGGTCAATGTGCCCATAACCGCAACTTCAGACCGGAGTGCTCCGACTATTTTCGCAGTTTCCTCGGATACACAAGCATCGATATCGATCCATGGTCTCGAATTGGGATGACTGTGATGCCCGTATACACCCTGATCTGCCCAGACATCCAATTCTTCGAGGAGCAATGCTCGAGTTCCTTTCGGCTGAAGTCCAAGAGAGTTTCCACACAAATAAATGGCCTGTTGGCCCGGGGTTTCATCCGTTTGACGAGTTTCTAGAACCGTCAGGTATAAGCAAAGTTGTTCTCTCGTGTGGACTGGGTTTCAAAGCTTTACCTTGCGAGATTGGGTATTTTGGAATGTGGAACTCGTCTCGGAGGTGACGCAAATGATCACGGGAGTCGAGTTCGGGTGCATTTTGTGCTAGAGGGAAGGTTCCACCGCTCATCGTTGAAATTTTCGAAACATTCACTCGTCAAAAAAAAAAAACACAGTTGCATTACCCGAAATCAATAGGTCGTACTGGGATTTTTGTGGAGTATTTCGGCTTAACAAGGTATATATAAAGTTTGGCATGTACTATTAATGCAGAGGTTGGACAGGAATTACTGTCGGGGCGGTGCTAGTGGAAACAAGGAACTGCAAGTCATATTTGTCAAAGACATAAAAAATATAAAGAAAATTGTTTACAAGAACATATTTTTTTATTCTTAGCTAGAAGTAGAAGAGCGTCGGCTTATATGGCTGAAACTGGTAGTCTCGGCTCTTACCAGTTCGGTTCTGGAAGACATATATGTAGTTATTGACATGGCGTGGTTTAAATTGCAAACCAAACCATTATAAACGCCAAATAGATTAGGTATGGAGCGGTATGGAGCGGTTTGGTATTTTAATAAATCTAAAAAGTACAGCTCCAGGAAATAGTAATGGTATACCTTTAAGACTTCAGAACAGCACAATAAATAGACAAAAAAAAAAAAAAATTTTTTTTGTAGAAATATGTATGTGTATTAGAAATTAACAAATTCTTTTTTTTTAAAAAAAAAAATAATGTTTTCAGAGATCGATCAGTTTTTAATTTTTGTTTTTTAGTAAGTGTAACGTCAAGCAACATAATCCGGATCACACCTCAACGCAAATCATTAAATTTAATGTTAGCAGTCATAGTTCAGAAGCACTTAGAGAAATCGGTAGCCAAAAAAATATAACAAAAACAATATATTATAGTAATAATGATTAATAATCAATTATTGATTGATTACTGATTATTACACTGTAGTACAAGAAAATATCAATTTCCATATGATACAAAATTAACATATGATTTTAGTATGAAGATGAAGCAATTTAAAGCAGTTTAATAACTTCATTAAACCACTTTGTGTGAATTTATAAACTTAAAATTTCAAATTTAAACTACTTTAATGGACTTAAAAATAATAATAAACTGTTTTACACAGTTTTTTAAAAAATTTTATAAACTTACTAAAAATAAAAATATGTATATAATAATTTAATATATTAATTTACTTTAAATTCTAAATATCATAGAATATATTAAATTAATATTTTAAGTATAAAAATTAACTTTTTATTCTAAATCCTTTTTTTTATTATTATTTTTTATATAATTATAATAAAACATTTTCTTCATTTAGATTTTTTTTTTTTTTTTTTTTTAACAAACTGTAAGGAATACACACTGTATCCTTATATACCCTACAGCCACCACATGTACACTAGAAACCCTATTCAATATAATACATATTATTTATAGTATATTTTTATTAGCTTACATGATGTGGTTCATGTGCATGTAGTTACATTTTTTTTGATAATTTCCAAGATTTAGTATTAAAAATATTAAAAAACTTTTTGAGATGTAATAATATTATTTGCAATATTTAATCTTAGAAAAAAAGATAAACTAAATATTATTTTTACTTTTTTAATTATATACTATAAGAAATCGTATACAGACTAGTCGTGATACCAAGGTAATACACAAATGTCATAAAACAAAAGTAATGTACTAGTGTGAATACAAATTAATATTTAAATTATTACTTAATTTTTAAATATATAATAGCAAATATAATAGTTTAAATAAATAATTAATAAAAAAAATAACAAAATAAACTAAATAAAAGTTAAATCTAAACTAAATATTTAAATATATAAAATATTAAACTAAATAAAAATTAAAACTACATAATTTATTAAATTAAACAAAAGTTAAATCTAAACTAAATATTTAAATATATAAAATATTAAATTAAATAAAAGTTATTTCTACATAAATTAAAAAATCTATATAGGATAAAAATCTAAATAAGCCCTATATTATACTTATTAATATAATAATTATAATCTTATACTACAAATTTCAAAATCTAAATTTAAATACTTTCTTATTCTAGATCTATAATTTATATTATATTATATAATTTTTCTTTTAACTATTATATTATATAATTTTTCTTTTAACTATAATATTACTTAAATATTTTTTATAATTATTTTAAAGATTTTTTTAGTTATTTAAATTTTTGTTTAAAATTTATTATACTAAAATTACTTTATTATAGAATTTTTTTTTTTAGTATTAACATCCCATCAATATTTTATTTAAAGGTTTAGTATTATAATAAATTTTTTATTGTATTAATATCTTTTATTAATTTTAAATAATATAAATTTTTTATAACTATTCTTACATTTAATTCTTAAGAATTCTAATTTTTCAAAAATTTTTCAAAATTTTTTTTTTAGTATTTTTAGTATTTTTAATTCTGAAATTTTAATAATTCTGAATATAAATTTTTTAATTAAACTTCTTTTTTTAAATTAAAAATTTAATTACTAATTATTTGCTTCAATAAGTTCTTAATAATTAAATTAAAATTTCCTATAACTTTTTAAACTTAAGCTAGTTTAGTTTATAATTTTTAAATTTTATTATATAAATTAATATAAATAAGTTTTAATATCTAAATATTAAGAAAATTTAATACTAAAAATAAATCTTAAATAATGTTTAAATATTAAAAAACTTTAATTAATTTGTTTATTTCTTTTGAGTTATATTAAAATAATAAAATAAAATTAAATATATTAAATAAAAAAATTAAATTAATTAAAATAAAATTTATAAAAATTATTAAATAATTTTTAAATATAAGTAATATTAAATGTTAATTACTAAATAAATTTATTCTAATTTTTTTATTGAAAGAAGTATTAAAATTTTTAATAATATATTTATAAATTTAGGATTTTTTCGATTTTATATTTTTTTTGTTATTAATAATAATTAATAAAAATTATTTTTTATGGTTTTAACTAAAAAAAGTGTTATTTAATACTAAATATAGTAGGTTAGTATAAAAGATGAAATAGATTTTTATTAAAAAAGGAAGTTTTAACTTATATACTTTTTTTTATAAACTTAAAAATCTAAAATAGACCTTTTATTTTATTAAATAGTTTGGGTAAAATTATATTATTTTAATATTCTATATATCTAGCTAGATATAATTTCTTTTCTTATAATTAGATAATAATTGTTTATATTTATTTATTTATTTTTGTTATATCTATATAATATAATTAATTTTTATATATAAAACTTTTTTATAATTCTAATATTTACTATACAAATCTTATAATTTTTTAGTTTTTAAAAAAATTTTCTAAATTTTTTAAAATTTAAAGGTATTTAAGTTTTATTTATAGTTTACAATAAATAAAAAGATTTTAATAGTATTAGATATTTTATTATTATAAAAATATTTAATTAAAAATAGTTATTTAATTTAGTTATTTTATTAATAATTAATATAAATTTTAAAGTATTATTTTACTATAGAATTGATTTGTTTGATTTGTTTATTAATTTAAGAGTGATAAATAGTATTAAGTTAATAATAAATCTTTAAATAATTATTGATTTTATTTTAGAATTTATTTAAAAAGTTTTTTTCTTTATTTAAAATAATTTCTTTAAATAATTTATATAATTTTCATATATTTTTAAAAAATAATCTAACTAATTCTCTGATATTGAATTTCTTCATTATTAAAATTAAATATATTATTTTAAAGAATTTATTTATAATAATAAGGATTATATTACATTTATTAAATTTTGGTAATTTAATAATTAAATTAAAAAAAATGTTTTACTAATTTCTTTTTATAATTTATAATAATTATAATAATTTTTGGGGTGTATTTTTAAATACTTTAATTTGTTTATAAATATAATAATTATTAATATAATAATTAATATTTTTTTGAAGTTCTACCTATATATATTATTTTTAAACTAATTTTAATATTTTTATTTTTTTTAGATATTTTGTTATAAAGTAATTATAGTGTTATTATAAGATTTTTTTATAAATTTTTTTATTATTAAGTATTATTTTTCTATTATTATAGTAAAATTCAC